GACTGTGAGAAAAGTTAAAAATTATTCATCTCTTTGCTTACTATACCTTCTAAAATATACACACTGCAGAGTAGGTAACTTCGGTCTAAGAAGAGGAGAAAGGCAAAAATGATATTTTTTATTTTGGGACCATTCCCCCATTTTCGGTCAGACTCCGGCAATACCTATGATAAAAACATTCATTTTTACCCTTCCCATTCCCATGTAAATTTTTAAACTTAAAACAGAAATTCAAACAAAACCGTCTCCTACCGTACTCATTATTCAAAATCACAAAATCTTTTGTCCACCCGAAAAACGCGATGGGATTCATTACCGCATAGTATGACTAATTCCAAAAACGCGGTCCGTTTAATGAATATTCAAAAAAACGGTGACAAAAATGAATCGACAGCCGGATCTGAAAAAAAAATATTAGTCAAAATATTGGGACCACATGTTTCGTATATCAACAATAATCGATAGTTTTATTGATCATTTGAGAACATAAAATTAGAATAAAACGCCTATTCGATGCGGTTATAGGAATTGGAGTGGGAAAGCAATTCTGGGACACATATTACGATGAATAGGCATTTTCATTGTTTTTTAAATGATAAGATTTAAAAAAGGGGGGATAAAGGGGGGGGAGAAGGCACCATAAAAAATGAGTGACAAGAAGAAACAAAAACAAAACTTAATCCAAGTAGACCACCTTTCATTTTTCATTTTTAGACCAGGTATTGGACGATGAGCACAAAAGACAAATCTTGACTAATAACGATAAGTGATTACGGCATGAAAAGAAATAGACGATTTCGCATAACAATGAACTTTACCATCTTATCGTGATTTAAATTTCGTGGGAAATCATCATTATTTTAAAGTGGAATCCGTTTGTTTAATCTCGTTCTGAATTTATTTAAAAAATACTTTTAAAAATTGGCACAAAAATCAATTGCTTAACTGTAAAGTAACAAAAATTAAAATTCATACTACCAACATATAGGAAACATACACAAATGACTAAAGGCAGATATAAAAATGAACCCAATAGCCATGTTTACGTTCAATGCTAACTTAATTGACAAACTACAAGTCTTTAAATAAATAACAAATTTCGGTTTTTTCTTTTAACCTCTATATCATCAACAAACACTTATATATCTAAAATTTTTCGAGTTTTTTCAACTATCCTCATAATATATACAATAAGCTCCATTACGTTTTGTCCCATCACCTTGTACACAATCTTAGTACCCTCCCTCATCGTTTATGTGGAATCGTCTTCTTTTTATCTCTTCATCTTTCCGGTCCCTTGAGTTTACCGAAATTTCAAACGCATAAAACGCAAGTTTTATGGGTTCCCATTTCGCGAATAGAATAACATTTTATAGACGACAAGATGGCGCCTTAACTCATTTATGACAGGCGAAGCGAGGATTGTAAAGGATTAAAATAAAAAATAGCAGAACAACTGAATATCGAAGGGTGCGGAAGAAGAAAAAATATTTGAAAAATTCTTGGTTTTAATTAGGCCAAGCGGGTGATTCTGTCCTAAAAATGACAAAATTCAAAAAATGTTTTGTATAACATCCTCCCTCATCTACACTACATTTCTAACCATTGATATAACAGAAACGTAGTAAAAAACGAAATAAAAACGATTTAAAGGCAGCGGAATTTTTTGATGGCCATCTTTATGTGTTTTTACCTCATTTTATGGTGATTAATTGGGCATTTATGGATCAAAAAAATATAGTCGAATATGTTCTTTCATTGTATAACTGATTGGAAAAAGTGAATGTTGTAATAAAGATAATGTGAGAAAAACAGACTATTCGAATAAAAATTTTTATGTAAATTTTTATAGATAAGTTAATATGCTTTAAAATTCCCATAAAAAATTGTTTATGATAACATCTAAATATACCCTACTATCTACCATGTCCATAACATGAAATTACAAAATGGATCTTATTAGAATGTAGGTATAATTGGTTTCTTGCAAGTAAACGATAATTATAATTGAAATATCATAAGTTGTCACGTAGAGCACGCAATTTTAAACTGTAAAAAACGTTTTGTACTTAATGAATATTTTGTAATTGTAAAACGGTATATTATTAGTATCGTAAATTAGAGAATAGTAGTAACCTAGTAACAATGCTGCATCGGCGTATGAAAGCATCCATATTTGTATCTATATAGTAAAATAAAAATTAAAGCAGCACAACGAGATAGCACGTGTATTTAAAACTACAAAAATATAAAAAAATCATTACATACAAGCCATTTAACACTTTAAAGCCCTCACAGCAAGCCTACAAAGAATTTTAAACGTGTAATAAACATTAATTGCTTTGCTTAATTAAATTATTTATGACCTCACAAACAGTAAAAATTAACCTTATCAGTTAGTAAAGAAACCTTTTTTTCAATCAGTCTTAAAGATATATTGTGCCTAACAATTGAAAAACCCAAACAGTGCCATTTTGCCAATTAAAGACTAAAAATTGCAAAAACATGTGAATTTAAGTCCGGAGCATGTTGAGTCGTAAAAGCGCCTCGAGCGAAAGAAGCAAATCATCATAAAAAGAGAGATATTATTGAGAGAGTCGTTTTATGAGATCATAAAATTTAACAATAAAAAACAAAATAAATCAAAATGGAATTAGAGGCAAATCCGAGACGGTAAACGCGTTTTAAATGCCAATCTTTTTAATGTAGATATTGTTTTGGAACTTTTACTTGAAATCTTTTGCTGGACATAATACACTTACTGAGCCTAAATCAAAACGTTATTTAAGAGTAATTAAAAAAAAACTGAAGTTAATATTTAAAAAACAACTACTTCTTTACATAGTAAATTTTGTTCATTACAATTAAGAAAGCAGTTAAAATTTCGCCGGCTAAATGTATCAAATAAAATAAAATTTTACAGCTTTTTTAATGTTTTAATTTAAATGCAGCAATTTTAACATCCTTGCATAAAAAAAAATTTAAAAGATTACTTTGGATTCACTTGGTTTCTAAAAAATGAAAATCAAAAAATAAAAAATTTTGTTTTTATTTTAGGTCCAAGTTTTTGTATAAACAAATAGTATCTAAAGTTATTACATTTGTATTAGTAGTATTGTTTTTAAAAAAGACCATATATAAAACATAAAAGAAATTAAATAACACAAAAAAGTGTAAAAGCTCCAAGACAAAAAACGTTTGTAATACAAGCTTCTAACGTGCTGAATCAAAACATTAATCACAAACAATGTTTTTAAATAAACAATCCATCTTAAAATTATACCATCGTTTATACAAAACTTTACTCTTACCCACGCTCGCATCAAATAAAAGAAAGGGGGCGCATCCTGCCATCAAATGTTTTTTCAAATACAGAATCAGCTTGTAACAAAGATAACCATTTTTTGAAAAACTAAAATTAATGATCATTGTAACGACCAAGTACCTAACCATTAGATACGAACAACTGCAAAACATTTACTCCAACACATTATAATATTTACATAAACAAAACCCTCTTTGCCCGCTCACCCATAACAATAATTGTCAAGCATAATGGCGTTGTGAGTGTTACACCGAAAAAAGATTGTGCAGTAGAATGGAATTCCTTATTTGAAAATGAATAGTAAAAAGAACACAACAATTGTTATAGAGATCGCAGTGGAGGAACACTGCCATTGATTTTAGCGTCTATAAAATTTTTAAAATTAAAAAAAAATATTTAGTTTCAAGAATTAAAAAAAAAAATTTCTTAAACATCCTAACCCATATTGTTTGCTGTAGCATTAATACAAAAAGCGCTATTAAACGCTAAACTCGCGTTCATGATTAATGTTTTAGAATTCCGTTTTTCAAAACAAACTTTTGATTTATCGTCTTGTAAGGAAAACGTTTTTACACATAATCTTCTTACCATCTTTTTTTTAGACATGAGAAACGGGCCGGGCCGGCCTTGAGCAAAATTTAGATCGGGCCGGGCCTTGGAAATTCGGGACGGGCCTGGAAAAAAAATTTCTAAATTTTTTAAAATTTTTTATTTCAATCCCCGTTTATGTTTTTAGATTTTATTGGGTTCTATGATCCATAAACGATCTAAAAAAACAATTTAAAGCCAATTTTCCGTTTAGTTTTTAAGTTTTAAAATTTTTAAAATTTTTTAAAACGGGCCGGGCCTGACCAAAATAAAAAACGGGCCGGGCCTGACCAAAATAAAAAACGGGCCGGTCCTAAAAGTTAGGCCCGGCCCGCGGGCCGGGCCGGGCTTGAAAAATGGGCCCGGCCCGGCCCGTTTCTCATGTCTATTTTTTTACAAAAAAAGCAAAAAAATATTAATTTTTTTTCTCTTCCCCCTCCCATTCCAAAACAAAAAATTATGTTTTTAAAAACAGTACTTGAAAAAAGTAGTCGTTAATAAATCATAATTGAAAATTTTCATAAACAAAAATTTAAGAAATGTTCATTTGTCGTACGTTAAAACGTGCCACAGCGATTTGTCATAGCTTCAAAACGAATTTTTTTCTGGCGCCCTCAGTTTCAAACGAATCCATTTGTTGTCAAAAATCTGTCGAACAGTTCTTAAGAAATTCATCAAAAAAAGAGATAGATCCGATTGCGTGTCGACCGCACCTGCTCTCTGTTTTCAACTCGAATACACACTTCAAAAATGAGATGAAATTACAAACAAATATTTGTGTTCAAGTATGTTTCATATGGTATTTAGACATTGAATCAAGAATTTCCGAAACTTTTAAGAATGATATAATAACTGTTGTTTAATATTGTTTATTGTAGTCAACCTCCAAAGAATTTTAAGGGGGGGGGGGGGGGCGGAGGGAGCAATCCAGCCTTTATAAATTATGTTTCGACAACCTTCAACTGGGTTTCCCTTAATAATTGGCAAAAAATAGTACCTCTCCTCCTTCGCTCTTTAAATTACAAAAGATAAGCCTAAAAATAAGCCTTAAAATCCCGACATAATACGATACCTTTTGCAATAGTTGTCAAAACGCCGCAAATCTTGTCAATGACCGCTAAATCGAATTGTCAGGTCCAATTACGAGACGGAGGGGTAAGATAAGAAGGAGGTGTAATTAGATATTTGTGAAATTTGAGCCTTCAACAAATTTACCGTTTTTGATAAAATCGTCAAAAAAACTTAATATATACCTAAAACTATAAAAAAATTTTTTTTATTTGTAAATTAGATTTTTTTTATTTTTTCAAAAAATCAAAAAATTTTTCAAAAAAATCAAAAATCATTTTAAAAACATTTTATTATAAAAATGTTATTGTACTAAAAACAGAAAAACAACACAAAAAAGAAAAAAATAATTGTGGAAAGTGATATGAAGTAGTGGCAGTGGTTTCAGAAGCGTGATGCATAGCTACGTCTGTAACATTATACAAAACGTTCAACTCGGAAATGTCCAGTCGATTGCAGTAGTCTGATTCGCAACAGCAAAAACGAGTGTGCAATAACCTAAAAGTTTTTCATTTATGAAAGAAAACTATAAGCTTAGCGCAAAAAATTTAAGCCTAAAAATGATTAATCATAAAGTTAAAAAAGATAAACCTAAAATGATAACTTATAACAGTAAATGACATCGTACCGTTTCCAACCATCTTTAACGTGATGCTCTAGTTTTTTCCGAAAGGTCCGTCGCACCATTTTGTCAAGTTGTTCAACAGTCACACAACCTGGACCAATTCCTCGCATTTGACATTGTTGTCGGTACACACAAAATCGGTCAACGTACCATTCGCTAATTTGTGTTGATTCTGGTTGTTCTGATAGTGCGTAGAATTCAGAAAAACATACCTAAATCAATATGTTTTAGATGTAGCTTTATATTGACCATGACATTAAGCGAAAGGTAATAAAAATATAATAAATTATATTAAATATTAGACATTTTTAACACTGTTTTTAAACACAAAATAACTGTTCTTATTCGCATTTACTGTAAATATCCAAAGAACTAATAAAAGATATAAAAACTACCTGGCCGGGCCCACAGCTAGATGATTTTGCCGGACTTCCTCTCACAAATGAATCATAACATTCCAGCGCTTTTACACAAGATGACAACAAAAAATAGTCCAGCAACATTGCCAATAAAGCTACATTCCTCAAATATCCGCCAACGGAACCAAAACCATTACCTGGCATACAAGCAACATGCACAGTAGATCAATAACTAACTCTGAAATAGTGTACATTCAAAAGATATAATACAGAACGCAAGGTAAAAGAAAAAAAAATGAAAATTAAATGTAATGTTTTTAATGTTTGGTTTACAATAAAATTTTTTATTCCTTTATTAAAAACATAGATGACACCTACAGTACCTATGAATAAGATACCAATGATGACATTAAAACCTTATACCCGTTTGTAAGTTATACTTTGAAGAGCTAATAAGTTTCCAAAATGACTTTGTATAAAGCTCAAAATCAATTCCACCTCCTTCAAGTTTATTTACATCATTTTTTTCTATATAGAATTATAACGCGTCACGTAGAGACATGAATAATAAAAAGTCGTTTTTCCTGTTTTTTCACCAAAAGGTGCCAATAGAAGCGAAAAAAGAAAATTTTTCGAAATTCATTGAAACTGAATTCCTCGTGGCTACACGACGATGAGGATTAGGTTATACATAGCAATGATTTATGTTTAGTAAGACAGAGGGAAGACTGATTAACTTCGTATCTCGGCTTAAATTAGTAAATACTGTAAATATGGCCGTACACAATATTTTTGTCTATGGAAAAGTAAACAGGTAAAATACAAAAAATTTTAAACCACATGTGGTTTTTTATAAATTAAGAGGAAAGGTGACACTTTAAACATTTTTCAAAAGTTTTACAAGGTTAAGAAAAATTTAGCAGAAACATACATATGTCGAATACACATATTAAAAGTTCTTATGTAAAACAATGACACCCCAAATAGTAAGTCCAAACTTGACACGTCCACACAGCGCAAAATCCGTTCCCAAACTTAACTAGTTGTTCTAAAAACACTAATTAAGAGAAAATGACACTTTAATGCATCTTGAAAACGTGTATATTTGTCCGAAAGACATGTATACAAAAATAGAATTTGTACATACAGCAGGACTTATTACTAAAGATGTTTTTGTGTATCGAAATAACCTCCATAGAAATAATTATAACGGTAAACTACAATAAACATGTACAAAAACACTTAACTTTACATGTTGATGAAGATAAATTAAAATTAAAAATTAAAAAGTAAATAACACTTTTAAATATGAAAATTATTTTACTGTTTTGTCAAAATAAAATATCTTTTAGTCTATACCGTCCCATTCGTCTAAACTAAAATTTGACCTATTACAGAAAAAAATTACTTACGCGTACTATATCACATTTTCAACAAGGGTTTTAAAACTAATGCCTAAAATATTACAGGTTTTTGGCTATGTAACGCCAAACTGAGTACTTTTCACTTACTAATCCAAACAAGGATTAAAAAAACGGCACGTAATTACCAACTAATTTTGAAATTACAGCGTATTATGTTATTGTTATTTAGTGACACGCTCTTATCCTCAAGTCAAATGTAAACTAACATATACTTGTTAGAAGAGCGGCCGATAATGCTCATATACAGAAGACAAGTTGAACATATCGTCACAGCTACACTCATATACATACATATAAAAAAAGTCCAAGTTATATTAAAACAAATATGATTGCCTTATAAACAAAGGTAATTTGGGTATCAACAAGATGAACAAATTTTTAATAATAAAAGTGTATTTCTCAAGAGCTTAACAACCAAAAAAAAAAACTTTGTACTTCATATGTGAATTATGTCACCCCGGGAAACAGCTCTTCACCAACACATTAGAATTGGAAACTGGTTGCTTTATAAATTTTGAAGTATATTAGCATTATTATATGAATACAAAACATGCTTTACAGTGTTTTAGTAAGAAAGAATAGATCTGAATGTAAAAAAGTTCATTAGCTTAAAGAATTTTTAATTAAAAAACGGACATAAAAATCGAAATGTCACAAAATTTAATGTTTTTAGGCATAAATTTTTATTTTTTCTATTTTTCGTTTCAGCCGTTTGAAAAGTGAAACACGTTATTACTTCAAAAATTTTATTTTACATATTAATAGGATCCGTCAGAGTAAAAAATACAAAAAGTTTATTAATCATATTTTAAAAATACAATAAGGCAGTATGAATTATCAAAGCATTAAGGCAAGAAAAAATTTGGCAGCTGAAACTACGTTGGATATTCGAATCGAAATTGGCAAAAAGATAAAAGAAGACGATTAACTAAAATATACTTTTAATCGTATAAGTTTGTTTAATAATCTTATAAATTAGCAGATTTTTCGACAACAAACTTCACAATAAAATATATTTTAGCTTAACGTACTAATTTTTGTTTCTTTAATACCAAACAAACTTAAATAACGTTAAAAAGTAAATGGTCGTCAAAATTGGCTCTTATAGGTTTTGATTTGTTATAGAAAATTCAATTTTAATGTTAATTTTAAAGCCAAAAACGTATTTTAAGCCCAAAATCAAAATTTTAATTTAGCAACGTTCTTGAATTTCGCCTTCCTTCAATCCCAAACATTTTCCCCATTCCTTGATGGTGATGCTACCGTCTTTGTCGGCATCACAACGTTCCAAGAACGGCTTGATACAGCTTTCCATTGGAATGACTGGAGCAGTAATTGGGATCAATTCGTGGTGACTGACGTGTTTGTCATGGGGCTTGATGTCCAATTCGCAGAACTTCCAGATGACTGGGTAGATGTGGCGCTTTTCGTCGTCGGTTTCGGCTTCTGAAACCAACTCTTCCCATTCCATGTTGTGTAGTTCACGGCGCTTCTTCAGTTCTTTCATGACCTGAAAAAGAATCAGTGAATGATGTAAAATAAAAATGTCGCAAAATTTGTGCGGTATTACCTAATGTTATAGTACAATTATGTACCTTAGAGAAATTGCAAAAAATGTTATTGCGCAACATTTATTATGTCATATTTATAATTTTATGTAATATTTGCCTCGATGTAAAACGACCCAACAAATTACTTCGAGTATGACAGCCCCTTTCTATTTTTCTGTGCCGTTCCCTAATAAATGTGGTCTACAAAAATTTTCTTGAGCTGTTTTGCCCTAGACTAAAATTGCAAACCCGCCACTGACAACACCTACAAAAACAATTCATTTTCCGATGCAAATCAAAATTTAAAATCCGGTTACCTGGAAAAGCCAGTCAGCCATACGTTCGGGGAACTGAGCCATCAGCTCATCAGTACATTGGTCCAATTCCTTGCAAGCACCTAAGTACTCTAAATGGACTTTGGCGTTGGCTGGAGATGTGCATCCCTCCTTGTTGCCCTTTCTCTTGCACACACAACGTTGACGGTAGAGTTCGCACAACGAGGAGAAGGTTTGGTTGTTGTTGCCGCAGACCATGTCATTTGGGTCGTTATCGAATTCGGGACACTTAGAGATGCATTCACAGACTGGTCGGTTCTTCTTGTCCACAACACATTCCTTTCCCCAGCCACAAACGTGGTCATCACATGGGTTTGGAGCTAAATTTAAATATTTTTAAACGTTTTTTGAAAGTTGAATATACGTTTTAAAATTTTTCTATATGGCAAAAACAATAAAAAATTTAGTTCAAAAATCCTAATAAAATTTTTTTATTGTTAAATTATTAAGCTTTGAAAAAGAGATAGAAAGTCATGAATTCGGCATAGCCAAGCTCTCCCCTTTGTTTTCTCTTCAAAATCATTAATTTTGTGTCAGCAAATGTGAACGGACCAACTGTTTCCTTTTATATGAGAAAACTCTGCCTACGTTTGCCGTTCTGCACAACATTTAACCCAGCAGTGAAATTAGTTATACCAAGTCAATAAAAGTTTAAAATTTTTCTAACAGAAAAATTTTAAATTTTAAAACTTCTTCAATGTTTTAAAATTCAAAAAAATAACAATTGAAATCATGCTTCTCACTAAAGGTTACCTTGAGCTGGAGCCTTGCCATCATCGATATCGTCGAGGATACTATCCAAATCATCGGCGAATACGGTAGAAATAGCCAAAACGGCTAGGCCGCAGACTAATAATGTCTTCATTGTGCGATAATGTAACCTTAAATATATTTTTCATAATTTTAAAGTTTTATAAAAAGCTACATTTTAAACAGAAAAACACGGTTTGAATCAGTACTAAGAATTCATACTGTAAGACGATTATGTATTTTTATGGTTGTTAAAAGCGAAGAAAACAATAAAAAGTGTACATTTACTTTTGAATATATGTAAAAAAAAAACCATTACAACATATCTTTTGAGTTAAATATTTCTAACTGATAAAAATACTTTTAACCAAACATCTAAGAAAGGAAACTCTTAAAGACATGGAAAGTAACTAAAAACAGGTCCAACTCCAAAAAATGCTCCGAGAACAACTGACCCGGTTGTCTTTGGAATCGGAAAAGATTTGTTCTGCCAGAAAATCAAGGGACGGCCCTAAGGCTAAAGACTCTCGAATCCTTTTTTTAAAACAACTGTTTCTTGACTCATCGCACAAATGCTACGAATGACCAAAGATGGGATTGTGGCGAATGTTTCAACAGTTGTCAGTGTGGTTAGGATTTAGACTGCTAAACAATCTCAGAGTTTGACCGTGTCTTAAGAGTCTAACGGTGCTTTGGCAGACAGATTATATCAATAATTTGTTTATATGACTTTAAAATGCTGATATATCAAAATTTCCATTATTAATAAAAATTAAGTTTTGATTACTGTTTTTTAAAAGTGCAAAAAGTAAAATTTGTACCTAAAATCAGAGTTTAAAACACCAAAACTAAAGACCTTATGTTCAAAAATCGTCAAAATTTCAAAGAATTGAATTGAAATTGGCCAATTATACGCATTGTTATAGCCAATGATTCATGAGAATCCTACACGTACAAAGCTTGACATTTACAAAAAATAAAACATAGGTTTGCTCAAACACAGTTTCTTTTTTTGAAAAAAGTTAAACAAAAGATACTGAGTACGGTAGAAACCCGTTTACCCTTTTCCTTACTTAAGGCATACCATTATATATTAGGTGCTGACATAAAGAACCCGCCATTTTTTACAGGAAATTACAAGCAAAGTATGGCGGGTTCTTTATGTCGGCACCTAATAGATAACATTATTATCCCAAAACTTGGTCTAGAATCTTCTCTTCGTCAAATCTAAAAATTTTATTTTTAAAAATAAGCCCAAAGCGGCTTTTGATGGCTATAAACTAACAAATGACAGATTGACAGCAAAATTTGATCTTTTCTCGACAACTTTTTTCAAAATATCCAATGGCCGCGAAACTGACCCTTAAGACATTTGATCAATCGTATCAGCATTCATCTTATTAATATAAACGTAATGTTCTGGAATACGCTGAAAATGAGGTTTTCTGGTGGAAAGCTTAAAATTTTAGTCTAAAAATTTCAAAAAATTGAAGAAATTTTTTTCTGTTTTAATACGCGAACGTAGTTCTTTGTAAAATCAACTTAAAAATCTTAAAAAATAACCATATGACAATCTGAATTTAAAATACCACAAAACATCCATCAAAACTTTGAAAAAACAAAAAAGTAGATAGATTTATGCTCCAGATGCTTTAGTACGCCAGCGTAACTTTTAACGTTAAAAAACTAACACAACATTACATAGACATAAAGATTATGTGGTTGACTGCTAACATATGTTTACATACGCTTATATTTGTACCATTAAGTAACACTAAACCTAATAAGCCGTTTCATAAACCTACTATTAAAACATAAAAACCTCTATTATAAAAAGTTTTAAATATTATAATATAAAAATAATAAAACACCGTATTCTTTATTTTACAAACAGTAAGTATACAGAAAATACAAAATAAAATTATCCAAATAAGACCCGGATTGTTATATGATGTCAGTGCAGAATTGTCACTGTATCCGTGTGTGACCCGACTTCCCATTGTCATACAGAAGACGTTGCGGTCGTTGCAAACTCATTTGTTGGGTTTTTCGGCCGCCCGGTGACGGTGGCGTACCTGGGGTTGTTTGCGGCGGTACAACTAGAATTTTAAAATAAAAAATATTTTAATTTTTAATAAAGACTTTAATTTTAATTTTAAATATTAATATTTTTTACTTTAATTTTTAATAAATAATTAAAAAATTTTAACAAAAACTGTGTAAAAATTTAATAAATCAAAACGTACCCCTCCCAGCCTGCTCAACAACTTCATTATTGTTTATTCGTTTAGGTAACGAAGTAGATCGCCTCATAAACCGCTGTACCAATCCCATTCCCTTCTGTTGTTCTACTGGAATCGCAGTAGAATTTTGGTAATCTTGGACAGCAACACCCATTGTTGGCCGACTTTGTCGTTGGATTGGTGGTCGGCTGTTTGGCAATGGGGGTTGATGACGTGCCGACATACCCATACTTGGCCTAGGTAGGTTTGACACTGGTGTATGTTGTTCATTGTACCTAGAATTTATAGTTTTTAAACCTAAAGAAAGCTTAAAATAAAACATTTCTTTTTTCCCCTATAGCTTTAGCTTTAAAATGTAAATTCTAATGGCAGCATTGTTGTGTTTGAACTTTTTGAAACTTTAAAGACACAAATAACTTTACAACACTTTACGACATCCATCTCACCCAAAGATTAAGCAAGTTGATAGACGTACGCTACGCTCGGTTACACGGCCCAAACATCATTATTATCGCCTTAAAGCATAAACATAAAGCACAAAAACCTACCGTGTATTCCCGTTCAATGGAGTTTTAGGAGGTGATGCTACAGTATTATTGGGAAATGTGGCAGAATTATGAATACGGTACTTTGTGGGAGACCCTCGGCGCACTACCGTACCAGTATAATTTGAGTTGTAGTTTGGTGACCGTGGTTTTGAGCTGTTTACGTCTCCAGATAAGGCATTTTTATTGGCTACGACATAGCCGGGCAAGGATTTTGGCTAAAAATATTTTTTAAACCATCTATCTTAATGTCACCTAATCTATCCTACCCTACTGTACCGTATTTGAATTTACCTTCTCTATATCTATCCTATCTTTTAGCATAAAAATGTAGATAGCATACCGTTTCATTTCCCTTTTTTGGTACATTAACCTGCGGCTCTTTCAACGAATTTATCTCATCCTCCAACCCTCGTACAATATTAACCAAAACCGCTTTGTCATTTTGTTGTTCATCCATCACTCGTTGCAAATGACTTTTCTCGTCGATAAGTTGTGCTACTTGTTTTTTCAACTCGGCCACAAGAATGTTTTCATGTTGTTCAGCATCGGGACCCGCCATTTTTACACGCATTTGCAGTTGATGCAGTTGGGAAAGGAGCTGTTTTCGTTCGTGCAACATGTACAATATGATGACTTTGGCTCGTTCTTGCTCCTTTTTGAGATCTGCATCACGGCGACTTATTTCTTCGTCGCGTTGCTCAATTTCTGATTGTTTTCGGGATGTCTGAAATTGAATTAGTACACATATTGTTGAACTAAAACTAAAAAAAATTTTATCAAATTAGTCATCTACTATGTATTCAAAATGTCATCTACTATGTGTTCAAAACTTTTTTTAGTTAAAAACATAATGACTTGCCTCAGCAGTCAAACTTTTGACATGTTGTTGCAACGTAGCAACCAACTTTGACTCGTTATTGCCCTTCGTATCATTATGTCGTTTTAGTTGTGATTCTAATATTTTTATTTCCTTCTTGTGTCGTTCTTCAACTTCGAATAGCCTCTAAAATACATTTCAAAATATTAAAAATTTAACGGTAATCTATATTTAAATAAATTAAAAATTTTAAAATAGTATTCAAATTGAATTTAAAACTTACACTTGCCAGTCGATTTTCAACTTCCTTGTACTTTAAAAATAACTTTTCGTGTTCTTTATGTGGCAAACTAAAGATTTGTTCTAACTGTGAATTCGGAGCTTTTTGTATCGTCATTCCTTCATCAGAAAGTAAACTTTGCATAACTTTGCCTTCTGCTCCTTCAGGTTGCTTATATAGATATGCTTTTGCTTTTTCTGCCTGAAAAAATAGCATTTAAAAACTAAATATTGAAAAGAGCCCCCTTTGATTTTTTTTTGAAAATAGGCTTACCCATCGATCATTTATTTAAAATTGCTTCGCGCTAAATATACCACTATGCCTTGGTAAAATTACTGTAAACGTACCTTAGCCACGGCCAAAGCCACATCCTTAGCCTGTAACTCGGCTTCCATAAACGCCAATAGCCGGTATAAATCCTTTTTGGCATACTTTTTAACCTCAACTTTTGTTTGATCTACATTTGAGCTAGTCGGATCGGCTGAACATAACAAATTCAACGTCGATGGACTTGCCAAGGCATAATTTGGCGGTTTTGACATTAGTTTAAAGTCTTATCAAAACTCAGTACTATTTTTTAAATTCAATTCTTACTCTTCCTATTTTTGTAATAACTTTAAATGTCAAATAGTAATAAAACGGCGTTGTATTATACCGTAGAATAGAGTTAACTACAACAAGTATTGATATAAATAAATGTAAAACGCTCTGAAAAACAAAAATTAGTATTTTTGTAATAAATTTGAGTACAAACTGTGCTGTCACGTTACATGTTGAAATTTAGAGAAAAATGACGTACGATAAAGTAAAGGCTTTTATAATATTACACTTTCCAAAAATATTCCTTTTGCAAAAATTAAAAATTTTAAAACCTAGTATTACCCACATCTTTTAGGTAAAAAAGAACAGAACACATGTGCCCATTAAATAAAAACTTTAGCGTGTGAAACGTGAAAAACGATCGATCAAACAAGGAAAATAAACCAGATTATTTGCAAGAATCTCCTTTTTTGGTAATCACACGTGAATGATATAAACAATATTTTTATGGATTTTAACTAGGTTTGAGATTACGGTAAATTAACTACGGTTAAAACTGTTTTCTTTTATTCTTCAAGTCTAAGTTACATTTTGTTTAAAAACGTTTTTTTTTCATTCACAAAAATTTTTATCAATTATTTCAAAAGTCAAAAGCCGCAGTTTCAAATCGAAATTTACAACTTGAAAAGAAAAAAGTATTATAAAACAGCAAGGCATTTTAAATCAAACAAGATAACACAACATTATTATTCCAATATAAAACATTAGGCCCATTCTAATATATAAAATGCAAAAAAGAAAGAAGCGAAAGAATTCGATTACATTGAAAAAAATCAATTGGGCGATTTTGCAAAAACATTAAAGCCACGAAACGGGTGCTAAATCACAAATCCAAAGACTAAAGAACGGCCAAGATACCAAGACTCAAAAAAGTGCTTGAAGACAAAGTTAAAAGTCTATAAACCGGCCTGGCGTCAAAAAGATTATTGTTTTGAAAAAGATCTTTAAGGTCAACATCTCCCCGTTTCTTATCATAAATATGGGGTATTCCTATATTTTAAAAACGCAAATGTAATCCTCAAAAAACGGCCCAAAGTCGAAATTATATGGATTCTTAGCAAAGATTTTCCTCTTTTTAAAAAAACATTATTCCACTTCAGACGTCAGCTGTTTCCAATTTTTTGCTCGAGATTCTGGAGAACGAAAGAGAGGAGAAAGAACTACCTTTCCCTCCAAAAAAGAATTCTATTCTTTTTTGTTTGAACACGGGAAAAAGAATGCTTGGGAGACGAGAAGAACGGCGGAAAGTCCCGGAATTCTGCAGCACTAGAACGTACTTATGTTATTTTTCAGTTAAAGAAGATTCAAGAGACTAGATATTACGTTAACGCTTACATATTTTGGGTAGGGTTGAAAGTCAAATCAGTAGCACCCAGCTGGTTGGTTTAGTTAGAAAAATTTATTGAAGGGGGTGAAGAGGGGGGGGAGAGGGAAGGAGGAGGAAAAGTACGGTTTATTAAAAGACCCCATACAATTTAGATTTGAGAATTAAACTGAATCCAACACTTTATCGTTGTGAAAAAAGCAAAAGGTTAAAAGCCCTGCAGTCACAAACGCTTAAACCCCGGATCAAAAGTCGAGAAAAATTTCTAAAAGCGAATCGCAAAATATGCTCTCGAAAAAATCCCGACGTAAATTTAATTATAAAACGATTGAAGGTAAAAACAGTTTTGGAAGAACGGAAAAATGCGGTATTGGTTTACATTTATTATTTTAAAACTACAAAATAGAAGAAAATTACTGTCTGCGTATAACTTAGTAGCAGTAATACATTTTTAAAAATTAATGAGTAATATAGTTCACTTATAAATCTATGTTATAACAATTATAACTCCTTAACAGTCAATTTGTTTACGTATACTAACAATTTTTTTTCCTCAAAAACGTTGTTAAACCACTTGTCGCTGCGTATATTATACTCAGGAAGGACATGTCACTTAAGATAAATTACATTCCAAAGAAAAAACTATGAAATTCGTTTTCAGAAAACATCATTCATTACTAAATACAGCGTCTTTGAATAGTAAAGTTTTTAATACGGTTTTATTATATTAGTAAATACTAAAAAACTTTTTTTTCTGTATCACCATATAAAATTATGTAGCACAATTTTAAATTAGTTATACTTTTTATGTTCTTTACCCATAAACGGCGTTTTGAAAACTAAATTTTGATGTTGTACTAGTAAATTTTGTCCAAAATTTTAGTAACACAGGCCAAGACAAGGTAGCAAAGCCATACAAATCCCCAACTAAAAACTTGAAGCCAAAAACATACATAGATGTATGTTTACTTTTTAACGTTCTTCATCTGAACAAACATTAAAATGTCATCGAATGAAAGCTATATATAGTATAGTGAATTCTTTACTTAAAAACAATTACTTTTTTTATATTTTTAAGCCCTCAACAGCTGATAAACCGTACAAAATAGATACCGTAGAGCAGTATACGATAATATATATTTTGTACACTTGCAAAATTGTAAAGATGCGGTAAAAATTGAAAAGTTGAAAACAAAGAATTGTATTATTTAAAAGATACAATGTCAGGTTAAGCTAAAGTCACATTTTACTGCGTACAATTTAGATAAACACATTTTATTCATAAGCGGCTTTGGTGGAGAGTAATAACAAAAACTAAATAACACTATCTGACACGCTATACACATTTTTCGTATTGTGCTTGAGGTAAAAATGGTTAATTTTGCTAAATTTTATACTTTCAGACGTTACAAAATGATCCTCCTCACCCTAAGTATGGCATGGTACCCTTTCTACCTCTTTCCCTTCCTTAATAATGTAAAAAACTAAAAAAAAAGCGGTCCAACTACACTTATGGCATACAGACAATAGCATGAAAAATTTTGAGCATACAGACTGACCAAAGCCCAAATCGTTTTAGTCACTTTTCTGAAGTTGACAAGTTTGAAATTGACAGAAAATGGGAAAAGAAAGCCAAATAGTCTCAAAACAAACAAGCCTAATCATTTCCAGCTTTAAAAAGTGATAAAATGATCTATTAGCTACAGCTTTACAATTTCATCTGACTTTGTTGCAAAAAGGTTCTAATAAACTCGTTTCACTACTTTTTCAAAATTTGTAGAGTAAGGCTAGGATAAAACTAGTGTTATTAAAATAATTTTTTTACGTAAAAGAAATTTTAATAGTTTACTCATTTGAAAATAGCCAAAAAATATATAAACTCGTACCTAAAAACGTCAAAAGCTGACACAAAATAATGTGTAACAAGTAATTCGAGCTTTTTAAAATAACTTTCAAACAAGATTAATACACAAAATATTCAAAAAAGGGGCCCTCAGGGGCTTTTCATAAGAGTGCGTGCAAAGTTGGAGTGCATTAGTTAGATTGGGAAAGAACATAGTACTAGTTTGGAAACAAATTTCAGTAGCTTTTAATGTCGTCGTTTCAACATTATATGCCGTAGGTTTGACTTTTAACCGCATCTATGTAATAAAAAATCATTGGTTTTTGAGACTCATCAGCTCAGAGGTTTGTATCTTTTTAACAAAACAAAAAATGGCAATAATTTTAGTTAAACTTTATAAATTAATAATCTTTAAATTATTATTGCTTTAAACCAACTCAAAACCCCAAAAAAATCAATAAAATCGATTTGTAATCAAAATCCTAACCAAATAAAAAATTCACAAAAGTATAAAATATTATACGAAATATGGGTTACCTCTCTCTTTCGTTCCGCGTTAAGTCTTACAATTTTGGCGCCACAATCTGTTTTTCTGTGTCCGTCTCTTCCGTGCTTCATAGTGTTTTGTTAATCCGGCGGTTTTAATGTGACGGCTCTTGCGACAAAAGTTGCTTTATATCAATTGAGACACTGTGAAGTGGTCTTCAATTAAATAAAAAAAGAAAAATATGCCGTATTTTGGCTTAATATTTAAAATATTTAAATTTTATGGATTGCAAGTCGATATTTATATTTTTTAGATGAAGTACTTTCAATTTTCTAGCATAAACGTTTTTTTATAAACACACTTTTTGAAATTTTTATTTTTAAATTTGTTATGAAAAATTTAAAGTAGTTGAAAAGTAAATACCAATATGAAATCAAGGTCACAGATGGCAATCATCACTAGGGCATTGATCAGATACCTGTTTATAGTGATATCATTTAGGAATTAACTATATTATATCGAAAAACACCTTTAACGTAAACAACAACATATAATAAGTTTACTTTACAACGACTATGTACAATTATCTTACGAGGGTAGGATAGGGTAAAGTAGGTAAGGGACATAAACTACAGTAAGCCTGATCAGTGGCTAATAGTGTAATGTTTCACGTTTTTATTTATTGCTTATTTACCATCTTTTGTACAAATATGTTTATTATTTACGCTTATGTCCACAAATCTTATGACAATAACCGCCTATTACAATACGCCAACATTAGTTCCTGAAAAACTAATATAAAAGGTATTCAAATCAACCCAAACATCATCATTTTGGTTTACAAAGTGGTAGTATATTGCTCAATCTTGCCATATTTTTGTCATTTTCAAAAAAATGAAATTCCAATTATTTTTGACTGTTCTGTGTGCCATTATCTTTAGTGTAATGGGTCAATTCGGATATTCGGGACAACAACAAGGTAATCTTGGTTATGGTGGCGGTGGTCAATCAGGTGCACAAACTGGACTTGGCTTGAACACTCCGCTTGGTGGTGCAAGCAGCAACACGGGACTTGGCCTTGGAAGAAAGAGACGATTTGCCCTTCACCATTAAATTCTAATTTCAGATGTAAAAATGTATAAAATGTCATATTAAAGATTGTAATTGTAAAAATATTATGTTTGAACGTTCAATGTAAATTTTTATTAATAAATCTTGTTTTTTAAATTAGGTTATCTTATAACTTAGGTTATCTGAATTAAAAATGAAAAATATTATTTCAATTTTAAAATGCAAGTAACATAAATAGTAAGCATATATACAGACTATAAAATTTAGCTGGAATATGTAAGAAGCAATATAAATCTTATCGTAACTTAAAGTTTTAATTAATTTTGTAATGATCACCAGTCATGCTCAGACGTAGAGCCATTTGCTTTTTGTGGCTACAATAGTTAGGCCAAGGTAAACCTGTCTATCCAACCAGTACAAACTTAATGTTAGAAAAAATTAAGCGGGCCAAGCATTCAATATCAAAGCAGAGAGGTGATAAGTGCTACGCTACGCATTCCTGACAACGTAGCTTGAACTTTCATTTGCTATTGTATCGCGATAGCAAAAGACATAAATCCGCTATGCTAATTAGAAATGATGTGCATTTACCTTTCAGTTTACCCAACATTATGAACTAACGAAATAGCTATAGTACGACACACTTAATCAATGTTTCTGAAAGAGGTATTTTTTTTCTACCATTGCTTTACATAAAGCACCTTACATTAGCTAATATAAATTCTGAGCTTGCGTCAAAACTTAAACCCATATTTAAACATAATCTTAAACCTAAACTTAAGTTTAAGCCTACGATACATCTCACTTTTTTTGCTTCTACGTAATCAAAAGTCAATGCTAGCTGTTATTAATTGATTACTTCACAGATTACCTTTGCTCTTTAATTGATCCCACTTGTCAACAAGTAGTTAACCTACTGTGTTGTTTTTAAAATGATAGCAGGAAGCAAAGCCAATATTACATTGACCAGGTAGGCTTGTTTATGCGAATTTGACAAACTTTACTGTTTAAGGCATTAAACATGACGTAGATATCTAACATCCGCCTACTTTTGTAAGTTTATTTAGATAGTATAAAAGTAGTAGTTAGTGTAGTACGAACTATAACGAAGTTTTGCGATTATTCTGATTGTATTGTAATACACTAGACTTGAAGATATACGTTTACTAATACCTCTTCAATCTTAAACACCAGTGACATCATGAACACTATGCTATGTTTCCTCTTTGCTCTAGTCGTTCTACCAAGTTTCTCATACGCTCAATTTGGTCTTGGCTACAGCGGCAATGCTAACCTTGGTGGCTATGGTGGACGAGGTTACGGTAATGCATATGGAAATAGTGGATACGGTGGCAACTACGGAGGTTATGGTCGCGGAGGTTACGGTGGATACGGCCAAAGTGGATATGGCGGTTACGGACAAAGCGGTTATGGTGGTTATGGTGGTCAAGGTTATGGCGGTGGACGAGGCTACGGTGGAGTTGGTGCAAACAGTAATCTAGGCGTTGGTACACCGTTTGGTGGTCTAAGTAGTGGACTTGGTTTGGGTCTTGGCCGTTAAATGTGATTAAATGCGTGTATATTTATATTTTGATGGCAATGTGTAATTATTTTAATAATAAAAAATAAATAAAATTTTATTAATACTTGGGTGTTAACCTTATGATTTTAAGTGGTAGCTTGATATTACAAACGGTAAAAGTATTGATGTTTGTTTTTACCATCTGTTACGATAAAATAAAGGTCAATAAAAATAAGTTCCAAACACTATAATATTATACATAATAGTAATTGTTTAAGCGATTTTACTACAGCTTTACTAAGAGTATTAAAATATTTTTCCTACAAATATTAAGTTGAACCAAAAAGTACACTTTCCATCGTTTAACTTTGCTCCATTAAAAAATCTTACTTTTTATGCTCAAATGCTCAAACCTACTTCGAATTGTTTAATAATGTTTTTGTGTGCAATAAGTTTAGTGCACGCGCAGTTTGGTAGTGCCTTTAACGGTAATATAGCAACTGCTAACGGCTACGGAGGCTATGGTGGAGCATACGGCGGAAATGCTTATGGTGGTGTTGCAGTGAATAATGGAATGACGTTTGGTACTAAAGTGATGTCAGGATGGGAACGTTAGTCTATCTAGGAACAACATGTCGGCCTTTGTGGACAAATTTAAAATTTTGTTAGTAAATATGTACTATAATGTCAACATTTGGTAGAGTAAACTAAAATCAGAACATAGACAGTAATATATTACAGTGACAATATAAAATTGTAAAATTTGTTTGTCAATAAATGACTAATCCGAATTCGTGAAGTGTAACGTCACCATTGATTAAGAGATTAAAGTTCGCTGAATTTGAAACGGCCTTGTTTACCGACCAAGTAACGAAAAAACGAGTAATTCACCGAAAAAAGTAAGAAAAATTATTTATGTTGAAGAATTGTCGAAAGATCAGTACACCGCCCCTTAACTGACCAGTAGTATTTAAGAGTAAGTGTAACTTTACCAAAGTAACGTCAGTTTACATTACAACTGTTAATAAATAACCTTTTTGTGTTGAAAACTTTCTAACGTTATTACTATGCATTTTTTGTCTACTTTTTCTGTTTTGGTAATATTATGTACTGCCTTGGTATCTGCCCAGTTCGGTGTAAATTACAATAGAAATTTTAACGCTGGAGGAGGGCAGTTTCAAGGTTCAAGAAGCTTTAGTGCTCAAGGTAAATTTTTTACATTTTATGCCGGGAAGTTGTATAATAAAAAGTATAATATTTTTGTCTTGTTCTTTATAAAATAGTACTAAATCTCATATTTTAGGTCCAGTAAGTGCCAACTACAACAGAAACTTTAACGGTGGTGGAGGACAATTTCAAGGTTCAAGAAGCTTCAGTGCTCAAGGTAATCCTTTTAATCTAGTCTTTATACAGCTCACAACTTTTTTTAAAATTTGATAATAATTTTAAAAACCAATTTTAGGCCCAGTAGACGTCAATTACAACAGAAACTTCAACGCTGCCGGACCAAGATACGGTGGTGGATTTAACCAAAACTCAAACTTGCGCGTCGGTACTCCATTAGGCGGTATGAGCAGTAACTCAAGGATCGGTTTTGGTCGATAAATACTTTTTCGTATAATGTAACTTATACATTTCCATAATAAGATTTTGGTAGTATAAAACAAGATTTTATAAAATTAATAAAGTAAATTGTTTATCTAGCAATCAATGTTACTACAACTACACCTTAAAAAGCAAAGCAAAATTTCAAGGCCGTAGAACAACCTTTACATTGAAAAATTATTACAGTAAAAGCTTGTAGATTTAAACAATCAAAGCTTTGATTAATTTGGAGATGTTCCAACATAGCAAAAACTTCAAATCAATTCAATTTTGAATTTCATAGTTTAAAGATTTACCAAAGCGGCTTACTGCTAAGCAACTGTTGTTTGCGGTTGCGGGCTTGAATCGCACGTTGTGACATAGTTTCATCAGGATCTACACTGGAGCTAACCGACGAGTCACGACTGATTCGATTTTTAGACGGATGCCCTGGAGCGGCCGAATCCAAGTATCGTAAGGAAACGTCGTTTTGACCGGCCAGATTGCGAGGAGCTTGTGGCCGACGCCAGCCTTCTGGTGTGTATTCATCTAAAAAATTTTCTTGTAGACTAATGTATAGAAAGAAGGTGTAAGTCACAGTAAAATAAAAAATATTTTTAAAAACCTACCGTTCCGCATTAAACTGTCAAACAGCTTCTGGAACACCACAATATTGGTGTTTTGCCAAACTGGTCTTTCCATTCCAAACGCCTTGAGGCAGAAACTTAACAAAGCGGCAGTGGGATTGTCAAGAGCCACCAGGTGTGTTTCCAAGCTTTCCGATGACAAAACATGTTGAAACAAGGCTTTACCATGGCCTTGGCGTTGTTTGGCAGTGTGAATGTACATGTCCATGATGACATGCAGGTCGCCTTCATATACTTCCATCTGTTTGTCGAACAAAAACAAATGTTTTTTGCATAGTTTTAAATAGCCAAGGATGTAACTTTTGTCTACGTTAGCGTCGTACTCCCAGCTGATGTAAAGGCTTTGATCAAGGTTCTGCAGAAGTTTTTGCACGGTAGTGTACGGTTCTTTAGCACCAACACACTCCATGGAAAGACGACCTAAGGCATCAATAGCCTTGGCTACGTCTGGTCGTCTAAAGATAGAAATTTATGTAGATAGTACTACTTTTATGCTTAAGTCTAAATACACATAGAATTAAAAGAATAAGCCATACCGAATCTGTTGGATTTGAATTCCGTCCAGCTTGACCAGATTATTCCCCAGTACGGTGGAGAGGTCACCGTTAATTTCCATGTCGAGAGGCAAACGAAATAAGACAAAAAAGAAGTCATAAACTCACAAGTAAGTAATATCGTATGCATCAAAACGATATGATCTTTTTTTCCGTTTCCTGAAGATGTACTGCTCATTCATATGTAATTGAGCTGCTTTTTGGGAAAAGTTTGTTGTTTTTGAATATAATGTTTATTTTAAAAAAATTAGATACCTCCCCCTCCATACCTTCAAAATATCCAAAAGTTTATAAAAATGACCTATTTATTATAAATTATTCAATATAGTTCCAAAAATCAGATATAAATTTGTTGTACGTAATCAGTGCTCGTTTTGAAGGCCGGTTGTTGAGGTACCAGTAGACAAAGATTTGCAAGTATCAAAAGATATTGATATATGTATAAAAATTTGTTTGTATAAGAAAAAATGTCAATGTAAAAAATGCAGTAAAATTTTATAAAATATTATACAGACGATACACATTAAAATAGTAAATAAAACTCATAAATAAAATTGAGTATTGCAATAACGCAATTAATTAATTATGCAGTAAGAAATTGAGATGCTTTTAGAATTTAACAACGTTAAGCTTAAAAAGGATAGTGTATGTACAATACATTAAAAATATTTAAAACTTATAGTAAATGCTTTAAATTTGTATAGTAAATTAAAAAAACTTGTAAAGAACATTAGAACGACACAATATTAAGATAAGACCATTATAATTGGCCAAAAATACAGGTAGACGAAGAAGCTGGGCCAGTAATATATAAAAATAAATTTTTGTCCTTACTAATTTCCGTTTTCTTCGTTGGCTTTCGCCGCACCAAACGACGGAATTCTTTTCAAGGTGCTGGTAGAGAACGTTGGTTTTTTGGGTGGAATCAAAGGACTCTGACTTTGAGCTCCATTTGGTTTAATTTTCGAGTTTTGCACCAAAGATAACATTTTTTGAATGGCTTGTGGGGATTCCACACCTGAATATATAATTTTTTATTGCCTTTCTAATAGTATGCTATAGAAAATCAGGTTATTGCACATGCGTATCGTCAATAGTAACCCCCTCATGCTCCACTAAAAGAGAAACCTCAATAATACTCAGTGTTAATGAAAATAAGCTCGAAATATTAGTGCAGATATTAATACTTGTTAAGAAAAGCGTGATGTAATTTATTTATTGACAAAATGACAAGCCTATTTACAATAAACAACATAAGATTTAAACTGTGATTCAACAAAACAATAACAAATACAACAAAGAAGACGTTATATTTAAATGTGTTATCAAAAAGACCAACTTTATCATTATCTACAGTAGCATAAAAATTTTTTTAATAAAAATGTAGAGCAATGACAGTATGTTTGTGAGGTATTATCAAAATAAAAGTTACAAAAAAATAATTGTTAAAAAATGTTTTCAAATTTCATATATATTAGAAAATCACAATAGACACATATCATCATATGTACAAACATAAAGAAGGCAGTGTTAGTGTGCAATCCGTCACAAGTACAGCCACTTACCAAACTTGGAATGTTGTTGGAAGAACTTCTTGTTCTGATCGCTCTGATTCGAATGCGATGATAAGGAAGAAGGCGTAGGTGATGGTACTCTTCGTCGTGCCAGCGGTACACTATTCTGGCCCGCGTTGGACTGTACTTGGCCTGGTTCGCATGCCAAACTCAGTTGATCCAACTCGTTTTCTTGGTCGATGATCGGCATTTCGGCCAGATATGTCTTAACTTTTCGACGCATTAGCGTCTGTTCGTATAGCTTTTTGCGGGACAAATTGCCAAGTGACTTTACTGTACCATTAAGACTATTGGCTCCATTCGCGCCTTTTCGTACTGTCCCGCTTCCATTGATTTCGTTGATGGCTGCTTGTGTACTCATAAATTCCAGATCGTACTTAACCGAACACAGCATGGTCACGCTTCGTATGATTCTGGCAATCATTCGAAGTTTGTCAAAGTTGATCAACGCTCCACAACACGTTGGTTTAGATTCGTGAGCAAAAGTAAGATCCTTCCTCATGATAGGGTAGATAGGAATGACTGGTGGTGTTGGTGATACGGCGGCCAAATGTTGTCGATATTTGGACATGTTTCGAGATGGATCAAGTAGTCCTTGAATGTCCGCCAACATTTTCATGTATTTTCTGAAAAAAATTGATATTTTTATTAAAAAAACTGCATAAATAACTTAAAATTTTATAAAATAAATTTTTAGCAATTTTGAAAAAATCGTGAAAGTAAAACGTACCCTGGAATTCGTTCCCACGTATGGCTCAATCTTCTGACAGCCGGTTTTTCCAATCCACTAATAATGGCGAACATGCTGTTAAAGTTTCTCAAATCGCGGCAATGTCTCGCAATTTTAATAAACTTTTTGATAGTCTTGGCACGTTTGCTCACGGTACGTTCCAGACAAATCTCAGTGACAACCCACCACATTTCTCGGTTAAACTGATCTTCGAAAACTTGAAGTTTTGGCCATCCGTAGCGACTTTCCAATTGGAATAGGTTGTCCACGTACTCGGTTGCTTCGATTGACGAAAATATGTCAAAATCTTGTAGAGTCAGTTGGATAGCGACAAACTGAGCGTTTAGTGCGTATAAATTAATCTTAGCCTCTTTCATGACTTCAGGGGCTAGCTCGTCGGGCAGTAGAGTTTCTGACCGGTTGTTATTTTTTATGTACAACCTTGATGCCAATCCTACACGTTCTGCAAGATTCTGAAGATCATCCGGAAGCCGACGTTGTTTTATGAATACTCGTTTTTCTGCTACTGAACATACACATTCGCATAACCCCCATTCCTGATCATTGTTCGTGGCTTCAGCTTGCATGCCAAACTCCAGTAAAGCCATTTGTACAATTTGTCGTGCCGTAGTGTCTGGGAAGACGTTCAGGAATCTGAACGATTGATCACTACGGTACACTTTGACTGCATGTTCCGGGAATTGGTTAGAGTTTCGATGTTGTAGAGCTGGAGAATGTGATCCAAAAGGCTGTGGTTCTTTAAGATTGCTTGAGATATCGGGATTTGATCGGCTTGTCCGTAGCGTACCGTAGGTTCTCTCATCCGCATCCGTAGTCAAATCAATTTCCTGAACTGCGGTTCCATTAATACCATTCCCCTTGAACATCGTCTTCAATTTGTCAAACATGGAAGCCTTTGAAGCTGGCGTTGCCGTGGCCGACGAGTAGCCAGATGAAGCGGCCGATATAGCACCATTCCTTTCTTTGCTTAAATCAGTTTGACTTCCAGCATTACCTAGTCTTTCGCGCTTCATACTTTTTTTCTGATATCTTCCCATAGTACCAGTCTGCTTAGAGTGGTCTACTATGCCGTTTTCTTGTCGCATCGTCATTTCTTTAAAGTTCATCATGTTGGACTTGATTGTTAAGCTTAAGTGAGTGCTTTCCCTCAGTATATCCAACGCTTTTGTCAGTGCAATTGTTCGGAAGTTTTGGCCATTTGCTTCGATAATTTCATCACCTTTCTTCAGGCCGTTCTTCTCGGCCGGTGAATTTGGTTCGACATGAGCAATGAAGATACCATCAACTGCTGGAAGATCGGGATGATTTGCATTGCCACCAATTATGCTGAATGCAAGCTCTTGATCACGATTCGATCTTGTTAAAGTGGCTTGGCGTGGATGTGATTTGACACTGCAGGTTATGTTAAGAAGGCTTTGCTGATGGTACAATTCAAATGCCTCCAAATTCTGTTCGAAGGTGTCCAGCAACTTGAGCATCTCCTGTGAACACTCAAAATCGTTGAAGTGGTTGTTGACCCAATGCAACAGTATGCACGTGACTTTTTCTCTGTAGCGTCGATCTTGAAACCATTCGAGAAGGCGGTGCATAATTATTGTCGGATCGGATATGAATACTCTGTACATTAAGAAGAAGTCTTGCGCATAGTTTTCGTCCATATTCGTTGGATCAGTTTCATCCACAAGGTGTTGTATTAGTCTGTCTGGCTTGGCTTTTATGATTACTAACGCTACTTGAGACCCGACAACCCTGAAAAAAATAAAAATTATAAAAGAAACTTTCTTCCCAAAAGGTGTCACAAACTGCCACCTACCGTCGCTCAGCCTCTCTAACAATCTCTCCAGTAATCAAATCGTTCTCTTGTTCAATGTGCTGATCAAGCGTGCTCATTATAGAACAGTAATCCTGATGTTCCACCAACACAAACTCGCAGTCATCGCATAATGTTTTTGTGTCACCATCGTTATATTGTGATTGAGGCTGCGGTTGGGCTCCAAACGCATCTCCGAGACGGTATTCTAGACGTTCTCCATTCGATCGTACCGTTTCTACAGCACCGTTCACGACGACAGACCAGCTGTCAATGCGCTCACCGTGATGTAGAATCACGGTGCCGGCTTCTGGAACGACGGCAAAAACCATTTTTAAGCAGAGTTGTCGTTTTATGGATAAAGGTAGAGATGCCAATGCTGGCATTTGTTGCATAAACTCCTAAAACATATTTTTATTAGTAACAGTACAATATTCACATTTGAAAGACTATTGTATTACTCTACCGATGCCTAAAATAACATCACCGAACGCTCAAACGTCTCATACTCATACCTACAGTATATTAAACCAAAACCGCCATGTAATCACATATTGTTTATGATTCTAAATACTGGTTTGCACTAGTTGAAAAAAATGTCTTCTTTTAATTTAAACAAAGCGTATTAACACTGATAATTAAGTGCGTGCTGGTTAGTTTGCACGCTGTTTTACGTCAACATTAATTGCCTTGTTGACTATATCAATTATGTTCTAGAAATCGCATGTTCAATACTATAAAGAATAGTGCTGTTTTGGTGTTTTTTTAATTAAATACAGTACCCAACTAAATTCCGTCAGAAAATACATAAACCCACCATAAGAACGTGAATATCATCGCTGTTGCGTTCGGCCGGCTCTTTTTCCAAGCACTCTCGCACGTTATCCTTCAGTTCCATGTAGGAAAAGTCGTGTGATGGTATGGATTCCTCTTCATCATCCTCGTCATCCGTGTCCACAGCAGTTTCTGGCAAACCCGAGAATTCGTCGCCGTCCGTCGTTGAAGACGAAGCCGTTGAACGGCCGCGGAATCTGCGTGCATTGAGAAGAGCACTTTGAGCGTTTGAATGACTTCGCATTCGTATCGAAGAATTGGAGTCGTCGGAGTTCTAAAACTTCCGGTTGATTTCAAATTTTTAAAATCACTACAAAATTCCAAAAAAACACAAAAAATTTAAAAAATTCAAAGTTCTAACCTTTCTGCTAAGTTGAACCCGCATTTTATTGATTCGTTGAGCACTTGGTGCTAAGAATCTGTCGTTATTTTGCTCCTCCATATTATTATCAGCAATGAACGGTGCTGGTGGCGGAGGTTGAGATGAGTTGGATGATGAATTAGACTTTAATTGAACTCCAGAATCAAAAGATTCGGTAAGATGCACCAGTTGGCTTTCGTGTATTGACCCACGTTTTTGTTGAGACTCTGAAACAGAATTTTTATACTAAATAAATTAAAATCAAAAAATATTTGTTACCTAAAAATTAAGTTTTTGCTAAATTTCACGTATTATTAGGAACACACCCAGCACTAACTTTTCAAAAATATAGATTCTAAAAATTAAAAAACCTTTAAAAAATTAGAGAGTTTTACCATGAATAAGATGTAATTAACTATCTATTTTTACAACCACTGAGGTTCATGTTAATATGACGACTGAGAACATCATAAATTGTCAAAAATAATTCTAATTACATATTATAAAATCGAAAAGCGTGGTTAATTACCAGATTTCTGCATTTACAACGTCTTACATCGTTAACTTTTACTTTATAAATTAATTTTTAATTATACAGTGTTCAAATTTTTTATTAAAATTAAAAAATTAAAGTTAGTTTAACACAATTTTTCAAAAATCTAAACCTTAAAACGATAAAAAGTTGATAACATACCATTACTATTCGTATAACCGTTTCCTGAAGTTACATTAGGCACAAACTGACGATTGAAATGGTTTGAAGTGGATGGAATGGCAGCTTGCCACATTTCCGACTTAAAAAATTTTCATTATCACATGTTTAAGTTATAAAAAATGTTAAAAATCAAATTGTATATAAAAAAATACAAATAAATATGTGTACTGTAACAAAGACCCTAACAACAAAATACGTATATAAAAAAACACCCTAGATAACATATGTATATCTAAGGTCCAATATTACTATCTTTTTCACAGAGTCAACGTGCGTTACCTTATCAACCGGCTGATATTCAGCCGACCTGCGATTCCGTGCACAACAACACAAATCTTTGTCCACGCTAATTGGAAAACAACTCATGTTAATCAGACGCGTTACAAATTAAAAAAGTCGTAGTTGCGTTTTAAGTTCGAAATTCGTAGTTAAATTCGATAAAATATTGGTTTAATTAGGAAAACAATAAAGATCGAATTCCAACGTCGATTATTGAAAAAAGAAAAAGCGTTTTTCCCTTTCGTCGACGAATTCCTTTCTCGATCAACTCGATTTCCAATTTGGAAACAAATTATATGAATCTCCATCGGAACAAAGAAGAAAAACGAAAGCGGATCGAGAAGCGAATTGAATAACCTAAGGCAATTACGGGTGTTAAGCGCGTACAGCCGGCTATAGAAGACACCTATCTTAATCGGATCCTTAAAAATTGGTCGTACACCATTGTAAATTGTTTGCCATTTTTTAATTTTTAAAATTTAAAATTAGTACTCTGATAATGTCTTAAAAATCAGTTAACTATACAAAATCCCACAACCAGCCCGAAGACCACCCATAATCCTCTGGATGTCGCCCAATTTTCCCACCAAAAAATCACCTCAAATTCAATTTGCCGCTCACATGTGTTTCTCATTTCGAAGCCCCGCCACATTCAAACAGATTGGACGAAATGGAAAAACCGCAAACGGAAATTGGAAAAGATATTTTGGTGTTAAGCCTGATAACATCCGGCCCGAGAAAATGTGTAAACAAATGTGAAATACTACCAGACGAAAACACGGTGGTTTTTGAAAGTGAACACACTTTTTTTCAAAACGTCATATTTGGCTATCAAATATACGTACTTAGGTTGGGTGAGCAAAAAAACGTGACAGAAAAAAAATAGTTTCAAACAGCGCAAACTGCAAAAATACACCTAACCCCCGTAGGCTACCAACCCAAAATAACAAAAACGTCACTGCAATTCATAACTCATCCACAATAAGCCAACTTTTATCGTGATCTATCCAAACCGAACAACAAAAACATTACCATCATCCTTCACGGACAATAAAAGAATCCCCCCCCCCTCCCTTTCTAACCCGTATTTTCGGGTTTACGCGTTGCGCAAGCATTCAGATAAGACGACAAAATGACGGAAGAATTGATACTCAAATGAATAACCTGGTTGTACGTAAAGCTTTTGTTTTTTAAAAATTTTTGACAATTTTTAAACGTATTCTTATCTTGTGTCTAAAAAATTTATGCCGTAAAATCCCATGACAACATCAACATCATCAAACATAACTCGCGATTTACCTACAAACCATTCACCTTGAAGAACACCCCCTGTATCACTAACCCAACTTGAATCGCAATCACTGAAACATTCGAATCCGAATTACGAAAAAACCCGTACGAATCAACGAAAGAAAGGATGAAATCAACCGAGCAAAGATTTAAATGTGTTTAGGGGGTTCTCATTTTATAATTTGCAAGAGCGACGAGTAAACAGAAACAACAAATCCCAAGAACAATCTAATCCGCGGTGATATTTGAATGCAACTATATTGGTTATGGATTAGGTAGAACAATGTCAAGGATTATTCAAATAAGATTATCTGACATCCGCAATTGTATGGTATTACAGTGATGTAAAGACCCTACAAGGAAATAGTCAAATTGATATCTTTTGTTTAATCTTTATTGTTAAAATATCTATTTCTGAAGACAAAACTTAAATTCTACAAATTTTAATATGATTTTACCATCATTAATTCAAAATGCATTTTAAAAACATAAAATTTAAAATCTGCCACTTTTATTGCAAACCGCAAAAAATAAGTTCTGTATTGAAAACCTAAAAAATTAATTTTCGCTTTCAAAATAACAACACACAGCCGTTTAGTGTAAAGGTCAACAACGACTTCCGAGTTATAGAACGACTTCAGCGGTTTCAGACGACAATAATTTTTTTAAAATCAAAAACAAAAAGTCAAATTAGTAGCACACAATCCATTTCAACCGGCCATAGATAGTACCTATACCAAAACATTATCGTGCCAAACCAAAACACAAGCATCTAAAGTCAGAACGAGCCCACTTTAATTCACGTCTTCATAAATTCTAAATACAAAAGTAAAAGATGATTGACGGAGCATCGGATTTTGCGACTCTTTTATTGCAAGTCAAAAACATGCGGATGCCGCTTGTGCTTTTCCCCCCACTACTTCCAGCGCTCTCAATTTTATCTGGAAAAATGAAGAGCTTACAAAAGTCGCGACTTTTCGCGCGCCAGATTCAACTTTTTCCTGATTCCCATTGACAAAGCCCGAAAAGAAACAAGATGGCAGGTAAAGGTGTGTTTAATCCAGCTGTGTAATGGTGTGGTTAATGAAATAATCAACACTTATCGTACCTTCTGCTAAGCCGTATATGACCTTACAAGAAAGGGAAGGCCTACTAAAACTATGAAAAAATATTCCCCAGCCCCGCTCCTCAGCCTCCCCCCTCCCCTACCTCAAGATTTCTCACTCCTCACTCTTTTTGAAAACACGATTCTAATAAATCAAAAAATCACTAAAACAAAAAAACCTTAGGGTTAAAAGCTACCAACCTCGATGAAATCGAATCGAAAAAAATCACATACGAACACATCACAACCAAAATTAACTTGTTCAGAAAATATGAAGTCATTCCTCATTTTTCGCAAAAAAACAAAAAGAACACTGATGATGATGAAGAAAACGAATTCGAATCGGAAATGGTAAATAAGCCGAGACAGCGCGTTAAACCTTTATCTTTCACAAAACCACCAAAAAGATTAAGATATTGGTAACAATGTTAAAGTAATAAGCCTATTCTTGCCTATCAAAACTACTATGAAATTTTTCATTTCTTACCCACTACTACAAAAAATAACTATAACTTCAAGTTAATACTAAAAGTCGTACTTCCCAAACTTACTTTTGCATTTTCCCTCTCCAAATTAAGCATGCAAAATGTTATTAAGCAAGTGCAAAACAACTAATTTATGTTAAAATAAACATTATCCCACGTTATTTTTGGTAGCAAAAGTCATGAGAGGTATTGTTTTGTCCTACATAATCTATTTAACTATAAATTTTCAAAAAATAAAACACACTCCTATGTAAAAGACTAAACTATTCCACAAAAAATAGACAAAATCGTTCAAAAACCTAATTAATTAACAAATCCAAACAAGCTCTCGCCCGATAATTAAAAACAGTATTGAAATTTACAAGACCATAATTAAATTGTTCCATAAACAGCTGACTCACCTGTTTGTTGTAGTTTTCGTGATAGGTGTATCCGGTTTCCTTCGGACAGACCGATATGGATGCTGAGCGTGGTGCTGGAGACGGTACTCGTTTTTGGGGGTTGGGTTGAGCAAGTGTGTTGCGAAAGGTTAGAGTTGCGTCCGAAAAGTCTTCACTGGGTTTTTCGGCCGGCAATACGCCAACAAACGTTTGAAAGGGTCGCGTTGGAGAGGGGTTGTAGCTGCGATGTACCGGAATGCTGGTTTGAGCGTTTTGCGCAGGTGAAGAGTACGGCAGGTTGTGTGTGGTTTGAGAGTACGATGGGTTGCTCGTGGACGGTGGATACGGTAAGTTGTGTGGAGTATACTGTGAGCTGCTGGACGGTTGATGAATATTAGAATGTTGAAGCTGCGAACTCGTTTGTACACCGTGATTTTGTAAATTTGACCCGCCTCGTGTAGCGTGAAGTCCACCGCTTTGTGTGCCTTTATTAGCACAATATTGAGGATTGGATTGAGCAGCAAATTGTTGATGAAACTCGTACGCTAAATCACCCGAGTGTCGCAGAGAGTAACCCGCACCATTTGTCTTAAAAGTGGTTTGTTGATGATATTGGTACGGTTGGGGGGTTCGGTGAGGTAGGGGTGGTGGTATCGATGGTACCGGTGATGCGTGAGTGTTGGCTCGTGAGCGACCTAATGTTGCAGACCCGCTATTGTAGCGGACTGGAATTCGTTGAACGTCGTTATAATCAATCTAAAAAATTTTTACTGAATATTAAATTAATTATCAATTTTAAAATGTAATAAAGCCTGACACCTTCGAACAATAAAAAATGCAGCCGCCTTTTGTGCAAACTTAACCCAGCCCAATTTAATCGCTAAACAAGTAAACTTTGACTGCAAAACCCTTTCCAAACCCACAACAACAGGCTTTTGGCCAGAGTCGCTACAGAAATGAAATCTGGAAACCAAAGTGTTGTAAAAAATAGTCTTTTTCCCACATTAACGCCATCACTTTTTTCCTTCAATCTCACACGAACGCCATTACTTTTCATCTGGCCAATGGTCTGAATGGCCGCAAAAAAGATTTATAGTTGGCCTAATCCAATTTATAAACTTCTTCTCAAAACTGTTTATTTACTTTCCGAAACTTTCAGCGGCCAAGGCGCTTGATTTCAAAAACTGAACTTTAAAAAATGCGCTTTATGTTGTTGATTAATGTTGTTTTTCTTTATACTTTTCAAAATTTTACTTTTTATAACAAATTTTTAACCATGCAGAAAAGCTTAAAATATTTTTAAAATGTCGGTAATACCTACATAACCATTTTTCCAATAAACCTATCTTACAACAACTAAAAATGTCCCACGTCTTTTCATATACAGTAAATTAGAGGTAGTAAGCTGAGCACACTCACCACTATCATGTCAGATGGCTGAATGACCAGACAATCGCTACTGCGGCGTAGATTCATCCCACTTCGTTTACCAAAGCTGAAAATATCATGACTTTAGAGACTTAATTAGCGTGACATTAACACATAATAACATAGATTATCAGAGTTTAGCATAATCATTGTTATGATAAACAACCGTTACTGTACAAGATAATACGGTACTGATTGTTTTGACTCATTAGAAAATGAAAAAAAAACAAACTGGCATTTATCACCGCTGTTAATTCAAATACAAAGCGTATATATCGCTAAAAATACATGGTAAACTTTCTAATTGAAAAAGCCGTCCTTGGTACTAACACATTAATGTTCGCCCGAAAGCTCTATCCATTAAGCGTTTCATAAACCCATAAATTTATGCATAAAATTCTCGCGCTAAATCCTCGAGAATCAAAGAAGTTAGACTTCATTATAGAGCGCCGCGATGAATCACAAGTAGATAAAAATTACTACTACATAAAAGGTCAAAGAGTAGCTATATATAAGTATAACACAGAATAAGATGAGTATACTACACAAATTATGAAGCCTACATTCCCATTCTAAACAAAAAGTTACACAAAATAAATTTTACCACTAAAAACCTCAAATAAAATAATTATACTGCTAAAACGTTAGATAAATGATTAAAGTTGCTATAAAAACAAAGTCTCCGGGTTCACAAATCAAATCACTCATCGTCGAATGCGCTACGGGTTATAAAACGCCGGAAGTGAAATTAATATTCGAGTTGGGAAAGATTATTTATATTATTCTCATCCGCTTTTCCAGTGCTATTTATAAAACAAATTTTTCAGCCATGCATACAGTAAGAGTTAAGGTTTCTTAAAAGTTTAACACAATCTCCTTGTAGCGTATTACATGAAATTTAAAAATTTTACATGTAGACCTAAAACACTATTTAAGCATTTTAAATGCTTCTATTCGCAACCAAAAACCCCAAAAAAATAAAAATTTCGTATTATAAGCTAAAATCCCAGTAAAGTACTCAAAACACCCTAACATTACTACGTTTTCGTCTCGACGTAAAAACAATGACCATTTCGCTATTTTTCGCTTTGAAAAAACTGGACGCATGCACTTTATCTACGCTTTCGGCCATCTTTGAGGCCGGGGGAAGTTTGCTGCGTCTCCATGAAAGGCCGTTACTTATTTATGCCCATTCATCTGGAGAGCGACAGATTTCGCGAGCACTAATTTCAGATTATGTTACGTCGTGTTAAATGAAAATAAAATATATAAATAAATTTAACAGTTCTAACATATTACTCAAAAATATTTTAAAACATGATTTAACTTTAAAATCCTCAAATTAAAAGTTTGGAAATGAAAAATTCCGAAAGTCCGAGAGATTCAAACTTTTTATGTAACAAAATTCCAACTCAAAACAACGATAAAAGATTTACCGGCGGAATCCTCAACTCTTCCATGACCTACGATCTTTATCTACTCGAAAACATATTGAAAAAACGGTCATAGTGATATTTAACGGTAAGCGTATTTTTAAGTAGCTTTAATAATTTTTATAACAATATTGCACCATATTTTTCCATGTGTTACAGATTTTTGGTAAGCTACACTTAAGCTCAAAAAAAATTATCAAATAAAAAAACAATTGCAACATTGCTGTGGCATTACCTAATGATATGACATAATTATACAGCCTCAGAGAAATTGCAATAAATGTCGTTGCGTAACTCGTATGTAATTTTTATAATTTTATGTAACATTCACCTCGATGTAAAACGACCCAACAAATTACCGCGAGTACGACAGTCCCACTCTATTTTTCTCCGAGGGATCGCCTTTCATCTGCTGTCGCATTATATAATCTACAAAAAAATTTTGATCTCCCCCAATCTCCTAAAAAAATCAAAATGACCCTCCCGACACTGAATACCGCTACTCAAAAATATATTCCAGAACATTTAGTGACAACGAAATCCTTATTTAAGCTTAATACCCCCACACAATGTTTTTAGGTATTCCGAGTAATTTGGGCGTGTAAAAAACTGGTTTCATTACCAAACTAAACGATTTACGACTGTATTAAACAGTTGTAAACACCTATATATTCTTTCTTTCAATCACTACACGTTTTTATACAGTTGTATCAATTGATCGAAAACGTTTTAGAGTACAAAATAGTCGTTTAATCTTAAAATACAATAAAAAATTCAAAATATGATCTTTTAAAATCAATATTCTAAAAAAAAGTTAATAAACCATTCCAAACCAAAAAAATGCAAACCCCATCGCAGAATCGTTTTTCCTATAAAATATGAATTTATATCGACGATAGTTTGACCTTTACACAGCCTTGTAACAAATGCATATATTATAATTTTCCGCTCATTATTGTGGTTAACTCCGGCTAAATTACATCGAAGACTTTATACCTTGCAACAAAACATACGGCAAAAATCTGCAAAAATATCCTAGTTCTAACTAAAAATCACGCCTTTAACAATAAACCCACACAAATGTTGGAAATGTCCCGCCATTTGATTACATTATACCCTCACAATGATTGGCAAATGTTTTCCCTCGTATCACAAAAGATGACTCATTTCCTGGCGCTTCTTATTCAAATAAAAGAAATAACCAAGAAGGTATAGTATAAACCAAAAGCAGTTGAGTGCACTTAAGTCAACGCCAGATGGTTACAATTAAAAATTGAGCCGTCTGTGCGGTTCTTAAACGTGTTGATTTTATAGGCAAACATTTTTAAAAGTTTAAAGTAGTTAATTTTTCATGAAAAAAACTTTCGTACCGTAAAAAAAATCACTCCACTCCCCCTGGGCCTACATCACCAAGCCAGAAAAATATAAAATATCCTTTTTAATTTCCTTGACCTTCGCCTATAAATCATTTTACCATAAATAATATTACCCCATTAAACCAAAGTTTTACGTTTTCCACCACATTTTAATTTTAAGCCTCATGTGAAACCAAAATGGACAAACGTTTTTTAAAAAGATTTTAAATTTTAAGTACAATTTCAAAAGAATAAAACTTTTACTACAAGTTTCTCGTTGTTTTAAAAAAACATTAATAGCCACCATTAAAACAACGTTCTGTTAAATTAACTAATTTTTTCCTTAAAGCGAAAGGATTTTACGATCTTTCCAAGAACTTCAACCATTTTATACCTTAATATCATTTTTGATTTAAAACTAAGTTTTCAGTCCTCAAAGCGACTTATTAACACATTCAGAGCGACTTATTAAGAGTACATTTACTAAACTCATTTGCATTTACAGTCCATTAAATTAACAAAACTAATAGTAGTAAAACCAAAATTAGCTACTATATTTATGTTTACTTCACAAATTCTTACCACCCTTACAACTTAAATTAACCTAATGCACTTTTACGAACATTCCAACAAAAAGAAAAACGTTTTGAATTTCAAAAAAATGACTGACAGCTTGGCACAATAAGACACAACAAAACATCTTTTCAAGATTATTCAGATAAACGATGTTTTCTAAATTGAACTATAGCAAACATATCGGTATACTATCTGAACTATGCCTTTGACATCAAAAACACAAAACTTACCATCCACTAGGAAGATAAATTTGATTGTTCATTAACACCGAACCACTAATCAGTATAAACCAACATGTTGCAGATTGCCCTTTCCTGCAAAGAAATTTTTAGGTACCAAATCAAAAACTTTAAAGCTCGTTTAAAAAATTATATAACAATATCATAATTTACGTTTAATAATTGTTAAAAGTAGATAAAAACTAGGCCAAAAATCAAAATTTAGGTAACAAATTTTTAAAAAAAGTTAAATTACGAATAAACAAAAATATTCTTAAAAATCCTTAAAACAAACCTAAACAAAATATGATCCTTCGGATGTCGTTCATATCGCGCTGTCTCTGCTATAGACTTCAATGGACCATCTGCCAATATCCTGAACACGTCCAACTGTCTTAGGTACAAGAAAATTAGCTTTGTGTCCTAAAAAAACAACTTATTGTATTTTCGTGTTATGTTTTCGTAGTCCTATCCTTCAAATGATTTATTATGATACCTAAATAAAAAAGCCAAAATAATCAAAACAACTTACATCGTCAGAACGTTCTCGAGGTGGGCGTCTCAAAGCATCAATCACCTTGTTGTTGTTCATGACATAGGCTTATTTCTTTCGCATCTGCTGAAAAAGTAAAAATATAGTACAAAAATAATATTTTACAAATACCAAAAGTAAACGTATTCTCGAATTTATAAATCTAAAAAAGCAAAAACTTTCATTACAGAATCTAAAACAATATTAAAAAAACATTCTACTTATCCAAGCATCAAGGTTTGTTACCTAAAACTGCTTTTAAACCACAAATGCTTGGAAAAGAACAAAATCTCTCCCAGAAATTAACCAAAGGCCAAATTTTCAAGCGATCAGTGTCAAAAAGTGCTCGATTATGACACAAAGATCGGACTTGTGATAAAAATGACGAATATATCTTGAAACATCAATCTCTTTATCAATTTGTAAAAAAACAATTGTTTTATCCCACTGCGAGCAAAAGTTAAAAGCAAAATTAATTTTTAAGAATTTTTAGGTAAGAAAAATATTTAAAAATTTAAAAAAAGTTCAAATAAAAAACATAAAACAATAAAAAATCGATTTAATAAAAAGACAAAAAGCTATAAAATCAAAGAATTTTTAATTAGAAACTGCTCATCCGAAAAATATTTTTATCAAATATTTATAATAGTTCCGCAAACTGCGCCCGGTACTTTTTTTGTCAGATATGGATTTGACCGTATCTTCAAAATTATTCCGGATACTATTCATTTTTGATATTTTTTACGATTTAAAAATGAAAATAGATTTACAGTAATGTCAAATCAAACACCGTTGATCATTTTGTTACCCACAAAACGAATATAAAATAAAGTTTGACAATTTCGGCCCTCCAGCTGCGTTGGATTACAACTTGAACCTACTCGATCAAGCTCCTCTCGAAAAGCAGCAGCAAAAACCGCTGGTCCATTCAAAGCATTTGCACCTCACGAAAAAATTTTTCTCTTCTCCCTTATAAAAAAAAGCCCCCCTCTCTTTTTGTCTCTGTGGGACGCACGAAAAACGACGAACCTCTCTTACTTGATCAGCGAGTGATTTGACTCGCTGATCAAGTAAGAAGATTCGGTAAAGTTTGTTTTCTTCAAGTCGTGAGGTAAATTCGGTAACTTTTTTTGAGAAAATATTCAAAAAAAATTTTGAAAAATTTATAAAAAACCAAGTTTTACCTTCTTCCTAATGAAAATTCTCTTCCTGTACACTAGAAAAGTTAAATTTTAAAAACCTATATCTTGAAGCGCTGAAAATCCACATACTTCTTCCCCTCTACCACCCCCCCCCCTCTCACATCCATAATGCCAATCAAAACAAAGCCCGAAAAACACCTAATAACCAAGGACAAAATCGCTCAGTTTCGCTGGACACTAGTGAAATTAGTGACGAGAGTGTCGCGCGCGCTTTTTTTTTCTCACCCGCTGCTCTCAAAACGCTTCGAAAAAGATCGCGCACCGTCTGATTTGGGGGTCAGTCAGAAGCAATAGAGGACGAAAAAGATTCGTTGGAAATTATTCCGAGGGTAAACAAAGATGTTATGATTGCTGTGATTACGCAGTTGGGGCACGATCTCGGATCAGCTAAAGGAGAGTTCAAAAAGCATATAAACGAAGCATGCATCACAACATTTTACATTATGTATTGTTAACAGATTATAACAGTATAACGCAAAACATCTGGTAAGGTTTCCTTATTAAGATTATTTTTGGTAGGCTTATGCTTAGTACGCTTACCATAGGCTTGGTAGGCTTAGGCTTAGTAGGCTTCTGCTTAGTAGGCTTCTGCTTAGTAGGCTTAGGTTTAGTAGGCTTAGGCTTAGTAGGCTTAGGCTTAGTAAATTTCGGCTTAGTAACCGAATAAAATTTAAAACTCCTTAGCAAGCTTAAGCTTAGTATTCCTAGACTTAGTAGGCTTACGCTTAATAGTATATCTCTATGAGTAATTTATGCTGTATTTGTTCAAACTTTTTATTAAGTTTTTAAAATTTATTTTTGCTATATTGTATTGTCTTAAAAATTATTTTTTTACATTCATTGCCTTCATTTCCACAAACTATCATACAAACATGGAACAGGTGGTGGAAAGTTTAAATAAATTATTTGATTAGTTTTGTTGCCACGGTGTTATGCATGTAACACCTGTAAAGTTCCTGGATATGTATGCATACCTATCACCTGGTAGGTCGCTTCCAAAATGTTTTACAATGTTCCTTGAATTTACTTTGAATTTATTTAGACGTCTTTGACAGGTTTTTTCATAACTCTTGGATGTAGCGTTATAAAATGTGAGTTACATAGGATTTATAGTAGTAAAAACAGTCAATTATCAAATGGTTATAGTGATTTCTCGTGACACCTTTTTTGGTTTGTTAGTTCAAAAGTTTCTGAATTTGTCTACTTCACACAGTACCTGTATTCAAATTCGAAAACCAATTTTAATTTCCTCTTTTCCATAATCGAATTACTGTTCCAGAAACGGGAATAACAAAACATGGGTAATATCGAAGGTAAGGACGCCAAAGCGGACAAAGAAAAACAGCCAAAGGTCCAAATGGCACAGCCGTTGGGTGCCAACGACCGGCATTATGCTCTGTACAATCTGGTCGATATGCACGGTGGTGGAGAGCTGATACCCTGGATGAGGTATGCCGTGAATAGTGGTGATCACAGCCTGATCGATGGGTACATGGAGACCAAAGTTTGTGTACGTTTGCTTACTTTTGAAGGTTCAGATAGCTCTTATTGTAAAAATTGAGATATAGTTTTCAAACTTTAAAGTTTGAGTACGGTATTTAGTACTGTACGTTCAATATCTTATATCTTGAGTACGGTAGTTAGTATTGTACTGTTAATATAAAAGTTATTAAACACCTTGAACAAAAAATGAAAGTAAGGACAATTACCTACATTATGAAATTGTTTTCAGGACATGACGTATAACGGTGGGAAAGGCAGGCTAGAGTCGGTGGCCGAGTTGGTAAAAGCCCGTAACAAGGAGAGAAACGAACGTCTGGGAGCATTCAGTAGAAAAAAGGGAAAAGGAAAAAGTGGTCCAAACATTTTGGACAACTTTAATCAGGAAAATAATCAAGGCGATTTGAAGAAAGGTGATCTTGAAACATTTTGAGATTATATACCTTTCTTTGGCTTATTGAGATTAGGCTTAATTGGTTTGGTTTTTTATGTCTAGGCTTAATAGGCTTGAGCTTAAAGTTAGTGGGCATATTACTTTATGCAATATTGTAAACATACCATTTTTAGCATTAAAACTATTGGATGGAGGTAAAGGCGGCAAGGGTGATGCAAAGTATCGAGAAATTGTATGGAAGCTTGATGCCAGAGGTGAGTTTATAAAAATTAAATTTTAAAAGCACAAACAATATCGAAATTCTTTAAATAATAAAACACAAAAAGTAAAATTTTCAGGATCAATGGGAGAAAACCTCCTAGGATGTTGCTTAATGCAAGGTACAGCAGTTCACAATCAACTAGCCATCAAACTACTGGAACAATTTCCGAAATTGGTAAATGACATATTCATATCAGAAGACTACTACGGTTTATCCCCTTTACATCAAGCAATCGTGAATGAAGACCCGTTCATGGTCAGCTATCTATTGTCTAAAGGAGCTGAAATCAACCAACGTTGTTACGGTGCCTTCTTCTCACCTGATGACCAAATCAGTAGCCGGACAGATTCGTTGGAGCACGAATATGTTGAAGTCAACTCAGATGACACGGATTATAAGGGGTGGGTTATATTTACATAAACGTTATACCGAATATGGCCAAATCATTCGCAGAGACGTATTTTAATGTTTATATACTATTTTTTAATTATAAAAATTCGAAATTCAAAAATTTTTTTTAATTTAGAAAAATGTACTTTGGAGAGTACCCATTAGCATTTGCTGCATGTACGAACCAAATTGACTGCTATCGTATACTGCGTGCTCACAAAGCCGATCCAAATTCTCGTGACACAAATGGCAACACTGTGCTACATATGACCGTCATTCATGAAAATTTAGTGAGTTTTTAATGTCGTACTGCATACTGTATATTCTTACAAGACACAAAGTACTACGAGTGTTAGCATTGATTTGAAATACTTTCTATTGTTTTAGGACATGTTCAGACTTGTGTACGAGACCGGTGGAAAGCTACAAACAATGAATAAGCAAAATCTCACCCCATTGACTTTGGCTGCTAAATTGGCCAAGAAAACGGTAAAATATTTAAAAATTTAATTTTAAATTTTAAAATAATAAAAAGTACAATTTTTGAATATTTTGTAACACTTTTTAGATGTTCGAACAAATCCTTCAGCTAGAAAGCAACGTGATTTGGCAGTATGGTGATGCCGCTTCGACAGCGTTCCCATTGGCCAAGATCGACACGATCAACCAAGAAACAGGAGAACTAAATGAAGATTCGGCACTATCATTAGTGGTTTATGGCGACAGTAAAGAACATTTGGACCTTTTGGATGGATTACTCGAAGATTTGCTACAAGCAAAGTGGCAGGCTTATGCTAAGAAAAGGTGGGTTTTTAGGCTTATTCATAAATACTTTTTCCTTGTTTAAGTTTTGTAAATATTGAACTTGGTCGACTACAATTTTATTTTTTTCCATGTTTTAGTTGGCAAAAGTCATTATCAGCATTTGCAATATACTACCTGTTCTACTTCCTCGCCTTTATGTCACGACCATTTTCATTAAACACATCCGTAACCGCGGACTTCTGGATTACCGATACAGGGGTTGATAACCGCAGTCACTCCACTCTGATTCATATGAATGAATATTATCAGGAGTACGAACAAGAACAACATAACCCTATTTCCATGTTCTTCTATCAACATTGGGCACACAAACCGTCCTGTTTCTTGTTCATGTACTCAAAACAAGGTTTTCAAGGTTATGTCAGGGCTGTATGTGAGATTACTGTAGTTTTAATGGTTTTTATACAAATTATCCTTGAATTGGTGGAAATTCGCAGTGTCGGCAAAAAGAGGTATTGGCAAGTATTGGTAAGCTTTAAATTTAAACTTATGTCAATTAAAAAAGTTAATAGTGCACTAAAATTTAATTAGGCTTATTACAAGCCTAACATTTACTTTTTTGATCTAAGGTCGCAGATGTTAATTTTAAAAAAATTATATTCCCCTTATCTCAACTTCTCCAAGCTCAAAAAAATAAATTAATTTTCAGAAAGCTTTCCCCGCCAAAATTATGTACAAAATAAGCCTAATCATCACAATGTGTGTGGTACCAGTACGATTTTCTTGTGGGCTAGAAACAAAATACAATATTATGTTAGTAGCCGAAAACACGTTAATGTTAGTGGCAGTTTTAATGACAACAGTGCATTTCCTGTTTTATTGTCGCGCAGTCAAGTTTGTGGGACCATTCGTGTTGATGGTATATACCATCATAACACGAGACATGTTCCGTTTCTTCGTGATTTATTTCATTTTCCTTATGGGATTCTCGCAAGGATTCTATTTAATCTTTTTGACATGCGAACGCAGCTACAGAACACATTTGATCACGGAAGAGAATAGAACATTCATCGAAGCGGCCAAAAGTAGGTCTTTTGGCAAATGTCAAAGATGTTGTACAGTGAAAAATTGATTCTTTAGTATAATATCAATTCATTGGAACTTTTTTAGCATTATTGTAAACAAAAAGCAAACTTTCCCCAATAAAAACTCCGTTTTCAGTGGCCGAAGACAAGAATATAATGTCAATCCCGATCGAATCCATGCTTCGACTCTTTATTACAACTATCGGAGAATTTACTGTGTTTTATCGTGAATTAAACGCGTGTATGGCTACTAACATGGCATCGCTTGGTAAAGCATTGTTTTTCATTTTTGAAATGTTTGTAAGCCTTATGCAGTTTAACCTGCTGATCGCTATGATGACACGGACATACGAATTGATCTACCGGACACAAAAAGAATGGAAACGACAGGTATATTGAGGTTTTTCGTTTTTTGTTGTAGATTTTTTGGTTTTTGTTGTATTTTTGTTTATTTATTTCTATTTTTTCATTATAATTTTCATGTTCTTTATAATCCCAATGAAACAATAATAATATTTTTAGTGGGCCCAAGTAATTTTGATGTTAGAACTGTCCCTCAAACCCAACGACCGCCTTATGGCTTTGCTAAAGTATTCAAGACCAATAGGCACTGATAAAAGAAGGAGAGCGTTTGTTGTCAACCGAAAGGTAAAACATAAATCAAATTTTCAGCATTATATTAAAATTGACTAAAATATTTTCTGTACTATAATGTTTAATCATATTATCATCTTAGATCGACTCATTGAACGAAAGCGAACGAATTCAAAAAGAACGTTTGGAAAGCGAAAAACGCAAGGAAAAGAAATTGTTATTAAAGAGGAGGTTAAAGGTAAGTTACAACGCACAAAAGCTCCAAAAGGTAGTGCCAAAACACTCCTCTCATTCATCAAACTTTAAAATATATAAAACCGCAAAAATTATTTTATGGATATGATTTACAAACCTCAATAATTCAGGGCTTCAAAGACGTTAAAAATGGAATGCGGCCAGTAACGTCCTACCTTACAGCTCCTACGCCAATGCCGCGCAGGTAAAGTTATCCCGGTAATTTATAAGCTTTGTCGACATTATCTTATTTTCGAATGATAAAATTAAACTTTTTCAGCTATAAAATTTGTATAAGTATTAAAAATTTATTTCTTATACCCGATATATAATAAAGGTACATTTGATATGAACTATATAAAAGTCCTACTTTTCCAAATTAACAAAATTACACCACAATGAAGTATAATATCTTTCAAGCACTTTTACATACCTATTTACCTACAAACTAACCCTAAATTTCAAGCAAACAAATCCTTGTACTGTTCCCTCAACTTGTTCTTTTGTACTTTTCCAATGAAATTCCGAGGATAATCATCAACGAACACATACTTCTTTGGCCTCTTGTAATTGGCCAACTTTGTCTTCAATTCAGCCTTCAATTTCTTTGCGGTTTCATCGTTGTTAGTGCCCGGTAACGCCCTACATACAGCTACCACACCTTCCCCAAAGTCGGGATGAGGGACTCCAATAATGGCGGCTTCTTTGACCAACTCCAACGTATCAATCGTGTCTTCCAGTTCTTTTGGATACACGTTGAACCCTCCTGAAATTACCATGTCCTTTTCTCTGGCCATGATCTTGTAGTAGCCGTTTTCGTCAATTTGACCAACATCACCAGTCATAAAGTATCCATCTTCTGTGAATTCACTCTTCGTTTTCTCAGGCAATTTCCAGTAACCTTTGAAGACAGAAGGTCCCTTCACTTCAATGACATCGTTTTTGCCTAATCTCACCGACATTCCTGGTACTGGTACCCCCACTGAACCTGGGATTCGTTTGTCCTCTTCGTATGGGTTGGAGATTGAAGCCAAAGCTAAATGTATAAAAAACCGTTAAAGAACTTTATATTAAAACTTACTTTCACTCATTCCATAACGTTCCAATATCGGATGTCCAGTGTGTTGCTTAAAGCCTTCCCAAGTAGCTGGAGTTAACGGAGCTGATCCAGCTATGAATACTCTGACATTTTTAAACACTTCTTTGTTAAATTTCTTTGTGTCAGCCATCAAACGTCTAAAAATGTTTGAAATTTAATAAAAAATTTTATTTATTGTATCTCCCCTAACAAGTATAATAATAAAAGGACACTTACGTATAATAAGTAGGCACACCAACATAAATACTAGATTTTGGCATGTAATGACATGCATCATCAACGTCAAACTTAGGCCTGAAGATTGTCGACGATTTGCTCATAAGAGTGGTACTAAAAGTGATACACATGCCGTGAATATGATAAAATGGAAGTTGATGTAATAATACATCACCTTTAGTAAATCTCCACAAATCCGCCAACGCTTCACCATTAGCTTGCAAACATCTGTGAGTTAACATTGCACCCTTAGGAAGACCTAAAAATATCAAGGAATGAAATACACATACAAACATAGGAAACGTACCAGTAGTTCCACTAGTGTACAAAATAGTGGCCACATCATCCGGACTAACATTCTCCACTTCTAAAGCTGGCTTAACAGAATTTGCTTGTCTTCCCAACTCTTTTTCGTCAACAACTTTAGCTCCCTTCTCTTCAAAAACTTTGTCGTTCTCAGCTTCACATGATACCAACACTTTAGGCTCTCCATCCTAAACAAAGAAATTAATGAACCTTGCAAATTGAAATAAAAAATATTAACTTACATTTACAAAGTGATTTGTTTCTTTCGTCGTGTAGTCAGGATTCAAAGGAATGTAGATAGCTCCAATACGCAATGTAGCCAAATATAAAGCCACGGTATCGGTAGTCTTACTTGTTCTTGATAAAAGTCGGTCACCTTTCTAAATCAGTACCATTAAGAAACACACGTAAAGAAACGGTTTTTTGTAAACCTGATTTATTTGTCTATTACACCACCTTATTTGTTCATCTATTGTAACTATGACACCACCTTAATGATCATCTATTGTAACTAAAAAACAAAGTTAAAAGTTAAAAACTCACAGTAAGTCCATACTTAGTACTAAGCAAGTTAGCATACTGGCCGACACGCTGATTTAAGCCATCGTAAGTCAATAAATTCTTTTCGTCCTGAATCAGCAACTTTCTTGACCCAAACTCGGCTTCTTTAGTTTTCTCGTCGAATCCTGCAGCCTTAACAAAGTTTCCATTGAATCGTTTAGTTGTTAATACTGGAAGACGTTGTCGGAGCATATTCTTCACCTAAACTTAAGGTTTTTAATACAATTATCAACAAAACTTGTAAATAATTTGAAAAATAAAAAATAATTTATTGAAAACGACTTGACACAAAATTTGAGGTGTCAACTGTTTCTCTTATCAAATTTCTGACTTGTCTAATTGACAAACAGGAAAAACGTAAAAATTAGACGAATAGAATAAATTTTTGGATAAAAAATACTTTATACGGTTTTAATTCAATAATCTTTTCAAAATAAATTTATTTTTCAGCAAAATCAAACAAAAAGTGTAAGAAAAACGTGATTTATATACGTTTTCTTATCTGGAAAACCAAGTTTATTCAATAAATAAAAGACAAACACCATTCTCTCTTTCGTATCATCAATTACAAAAGACAAAAATAAAGTTTTAGTTGCTTAATAAGGTGGGAGCGTGCGGAACTTTGCTCAATCATCAAGTTATATTACCCACAAAAAATAGTGGATCAATTCCAAACATAAAGAAACTGAAATACGCTCTGAAGCTAAAGAATTAATATAAGTCTCGCGAGAGATCTCGGTATCAAATAACATGAATCTATTTTAAAATTTATGTAATTAGCAATGACTAAAATGATGGAGGTTTGCGAACGTCACAAATTATGCATAGCTTATGCGTTAATAGGTCCCGATTTACCGCACTTGGTCATAAGTCCCATATGGACACAGGAGAATATGTAATATGTTTTGTATTTCAAGAGCTGTCAAACTTTAGTGGACACATGCATATTCAAGGCTGATGTCATTTTTATGGAAAAGGTTAATTTAAAAAAATTTTGGTTTATCAGTAAAATTCAGACAAAAATGTCATACTCACTCTGTTTTGTCATAAACCTCCGACTTATAACTTTGTATTCAAAAAATCTGAAATTTGCATAATATTGTCATAAGTAATAATGATTTGTCAGTATTTCCGCGCCGTCGGTTCTTTTGTTTGGTCAAAGAAACGTGCCGCAGGCAACTCTTCCTTTTGTCTTTTATTTGACTGACCGAAGACCTAGTGAAATTTGCATAAACTTGTTCAAGAGCTCCGTTTACGAATAACGGACGCGGTCGGTAATATGAATCGCATCCGGAGATTACAATATTGTTGTTTCGAAGATGACAATGTTATTGTGGTAAATTTGTTGTAGGATAAGGAGTGCGTTTATGATTTACAAATTTTTACGTTTTTCGCATTTTAAAGATAAAAAAATGACTTTTAAAGTTGTGAAAAATAATTTTTTACTAAAGAACGCATACCAAAAACTCTCTTAGTACTGCCATGGTATAATAATTGCTAATTGTCGTTCGGATTGCCATGGAACTTTTTCGCGCACTTTCGTATGTTTCTTTTCATGTTTCGCGATTATTAAATATGGCATTTCTTTTGTTTTTCAAAACTCTATTATAATGTTTATTTCATATTTGTATATTACCGTAGTTTTATATTTTTGGTACTACATATTGTAGTTTTAGATTATTGGTATCTTCCTCTTGTTAAATATTTAAAAGTAACAGGATACCAAATGTAAAGCAGAACAACTTCGAAAGTCATTTGGAATAGTCATAATGTTTCAATATGTACTTGAATAAGCGTAATAATGCCGTATAGTAATTTTATTGTTTTGAGTATGGAGCACTTTAATAGTTTTTGAGCAGTCAAGTGGAAATCCGATTTTATGGTGTTTAAGACGTTGTGAAAGGATTTGTATGTATAAACATGTGCATTTTGTAAAATATTTTAGGTTTAGCAAGGTAAAAAAACAGCGGTTGTTTTTTAAAATTATCAGCCTAGGCTGAGTTTGCTTTTTAAGCAAAAAATTAATATTGGCGGGTGGGGGGGGAGTGAAGGAGGGATGGGTAGATATCTCTCTACTTTCAATTTTTTGTTTAGATACTAAAATTTTTATTTTAGAAAGTGCGCTAAAGATGTTATAAAACCGATTGTAAAAGCGTTTTATTACTCACAGAGTAAAAGCAGTTTATTTTGAGGCATTTACCTTATGGCTTCATTAAACCGTCCCAAAGGGTTTAATCAAATTTTTGCAAGTCAAAAAACTTTTTTTTCAGTTTTTAAAGTCTGCATGTCTCCGACTTTTGAAATTTAAGTATTTTTAAAGTTTTATCGTGTTTATAAACAATTTTAGCCATATTAACGTTTGTAAAGGAAGATTTTGCCATTTTATGTTTTGTAAAGAAAATTCTTGCAATTTTATGGTTTGTAAGGAAAGTTCTTGCCATTTTATGTTTGTAAAGAAAGTTCTTGCTATTTTTTGTTTTGTAAAGAAAGTTTTTGCCATTTTTTATTTTGTAAAGAAAGTTCTTGCTATTTTTTGTTTTGTAAAGAAAGTTTTTGCCATTTTTTATTTTGTAAAGAAAGTTCTTGCTATTTTATGTATTATAAAAAATTTTGGTAAAGTTATCATAAACGGCCGACAATATACAACTACAAAACGGCTTAATAGTAATAATTTGCGACTCAAATAGTAATAATTCATAAAATTGGAGTTATTACTATTTAGGGCCTCGACTTTGTTTTTAATTAAACCTTTATAAATACTTAGTAACAGGGCTGTAAACAATATCACATAAAAATAACTTTTGGGCTGTCCATTTTATAACTTTTTGAATTCCATAAAAAGCCCCTCCGGGCACACGGCTTTTTTGTTTAAAAATAATTTGAAATAAATGGACATTGTTCTCATTTCCTTTAATGCACGTCAAAAGTTTTAATGTATGAAATTTGGCCTCGGGCCAGAATTCGGGCTTGTTTTTTAATGATTTGCATAAAAGGAAATGGACTTCTTTGGGTATTGGCTACAATTTGTTTTTTTTTAGTTTTTTCAAATATTTACATAGGTTTTGAAGGGTGGAAGATTGGGGAGCAGTGGAGGGGGGAGGGGGGGGATTTTGTAAGTTGAACAGGAGGTGCAGGAACAATGATTTGCCTAGACATGAGGAACGGTCCGGATCGACCCGTTTCCACGTAAAAAATGCAAAATTTTCGGGTTAGGCCTGAAAAGTGGGCCCGGCCCGTTCCTCCTGTCAGATTCGCCGTTTTACTTGATGTAAAAAAAAGTTCTCGCCAAAAAGGTTGCCAAATTTTTTTTTAAAATGGCAGAAGCTGAAAACGTTTCCGCTTTTGTGAAGCTCACGCAAAATTACTCTAAAACGGTGCCGGCGCGCGGTAAAAAATGCGAAAAACAATTGGCCGCGAGGTTTTACGCTTCTGGCAACAATTTCATCATTGGTTTTGGGGTTTGGTTTTTTTAAAAATAGCTGAATTTATATGGAACTTACTACTTTTGATCTTGTGAAGAAAGTTGTTGCCATTTTATGTTTTGTAAAGAAAGTTCTTGCCATTTTATAGTTTGTAAAGAAAGTTCTTGCTAGTTTCTGCTTTGTAAAGAAAGTTTTTGCCATTTTCTCTTTTGTAAAGAAAGTTTTTGCCATTTTCTCTTTTGTAAAGAAAGTTCTGTCATTTTCATATAAAGAATGTAACGTTAAGCCCTGCATACAACCAAAACCGTGGCCAAACAAAAAAATGTGTTATCGTGTCGAATACATAACCGAATGCATCTGTTCGGTAACATATCATTTGTTGTCTCAATGTCTTAATCCGCGTTGCGTTTTAGTAAACGCGCTAAGCCGTTTTTCGCCTTAATGACACTCGACCAGCGTTGAGTTACAACAAAAACATACCAATAGTCGAGAGGGTGGAGGAAACAGGCGGTCTGAAAGAGTACGGTATTGGTTTGGCGGGGGTTATTGACTGTTAACAGTGCTGTTTCGGTTGTTTTTGCTTTATTCGGTAGGGGGGGGGGAGAGGGTAGAAGAGATTTTTGAAAAAAATTGAATTTTGCTCTTCCCCCCCTCCCCCAAACTTTAAATTTTAAAAAAAGTTTAAATCAGGCCTGATCAAAAAACCAATAAAACCCAAATCCAACAATATTTACTCTGGCAGTAAAGCGCGACACCAATAAATCGCGCAGTATGATACTTTTCCCCTCGTACGCTTAATTGTTTCGCGCCAAAATTCAGCCTTAAAATTCGATATTGAGCCTTGTCGAGAGTCGTAAAAACCATCGAGAAGGGGGGCTTCTTATAAGGTTATGGTCCCTGATCCGAACGGTAAACATTATAAACAAAGGGTGCCATTCTTTAATATGGCCATATCGATTTCGGGCGTCATGTCGGAAGCGGATGGCTCGTATTTTATAGGGGGGAGGGTCGAGCTTTGAAAAAATGGTAAATTAGGTGGGAACTGGACTTGAAAGAGGGTTTACTAAGTCAGGCCCGGCTTCGAGCTAGGTCAAAGCAATTTTGTATAGACATGAGAAACGGGCCGGAACTGACCCAAATTTAGGCCTGGCCGGGCTTGAACAAAATTTTGATCGAGCCGGGCATAACATTCAGGCCCGGCTCGTTTCATGTCTAATTTTGAAAAGCGTTGGGCCGGCTTACGTAAGCCCGAAGGCCAGGCTCAAACCGAGGCTGAAAAGTTGGTTTTCCTCCGTTTACAGGCCTAGGTTTAGCTGAAATTTTATAAAGAAAACCAATTGACATTCCTTATTGCAAATCCACCAACCCACTGTGATGTTTACTCTCTTTAACCGACCGCAAAACCCGATTGGTCAGTGCGCAAGGCTTTTTTAATTTAACTTTATACAAATATATTTTACTAAAGTGAAACGACAATAAAACCACCGTGACGTTCAGTTGGAATATTTTTGGTTTACCTCAGCTTAATTTACTCAAATTTGATTACTCTGCAATGTTATATTATATACCTTTGTAAAATATGAAAATAGAATTAAGTTAAATTACGTATAAGCCGTAAGGTTTATGCCGTATTACGTATTTTTTGATATAATGATATAGCCTTAGAGAAATTGGAAGAAGTGTTATTACGTAATTTGTTGTTATGTAACATTTATGGTTTTATATAATACTTGCCTCGGTGTAAAACGACCCAACAAATTACTGCGCGTA